TATTATTATTATTATTATTATTATTATTATTGTTATTATTATTATTATTATTATTATTATTAGTTTTTTATTGTTATTATTTTTAATATTTTATCATTATTATGCTTATTTAATCAATATTATTTTAATTAATCAGAAATTATTATCATTTCTTTCATTATTCATATTATTATTATTACCATAATAATTAGCACTATTTAACACTTTCAGATCTATCTCTGGAAAATGGTCCTAGTGTTAGCCCTGGAAATAATATTTATCTTTCAGGAATGATTTTCTATAATTATAATTATAATTAAAAACAAATATTTTTAAGGAGTGAAAGCATGGACTATCACGTGACCACCCTCCATGAAAAGAATGGAATGTCTGATTTAAAACGACACCCTGATGGCTTTTTCTGATCAAGTATGGATTAGATATCAATGATTATTTTCAACGGTGGTTTCTCCACAAAATTTCTTGCTTATTTCTACTGGAGGGAAATGTGTAGAAATTATCAGAATTAAACTGTTTTGATTCAAGAAAAGCGTCTTTATACTTTTCACATAAATGAACAGATTAAGGTGTCAAGGGTACCGTTGTGAATCAGGCATTACCGTCTTTACATGAAGGGTCGATTACTTAAACTTAAGCTTAAATTTCTTTTAAACTAAATTTTTAATTAAGAAACTCATTTTCAGCAGAATGTTTTATCTGTTCCAATGGGTAAGATTTAATTATAAACAACATATAATTAGAAAAAGAAAAAAAAACCTTATAAACAAAACGCTTGGTCACAATATTTAACTTTTTATCGATATCTATCCCAATCTTATATGGTTCCAAATTTAAAGAACGGTGAGGGATCAAACATTTATCCACAAAAGAATTGAGTCTTAGCCACAAACTCTGATGTTCTAACCCCCCCCCCCTATCTTTGCAACCCAATATCAAAGACCTTAGATTTGTCAAGCTACCGATTCTCAAAGTTATAAATTAGAAGATTTACACCATCAGGTTGCAAGATATAGGGATTATATATAATTCCTATATCTTTCAACTAAAAGTTTGCTCTTTTGCACGAAGACGATGAACCTCCTCCATTTGACTGGTGCCCTTTACCCCCGGAACTAGATGACGTAGGAAGTATTTCATTTGTACAGGTAATGTGCTTAAGGACCAGAAGATGTGGATTGACTAGGGTTTCCAGCAAAATGAGGAAAATTTTCCGCGAAAGTTTAGCAGTTTTGCATTCCGTTTGCTAAAAAAAAATCCGAAAATTTTCGGGTTTTTGGTAATTTTTTTTAACGAAATTCTGTATCGTTCCCTATGATTGACCCATGGATACGCCCTCGGGTTTATCATTGTATCCCGAGGGGGTCTAAATTTTCATTGATTCTAATTTGTCTGAGAGTAAATGATACATTCCCTTATAAAAAGCTGTTTTTTGGTATGCAACATTTTTAATTTAATCCCGCCCCTTTTAAAAATGAAAATAAATAGTAAAAATAATTTGTTATTTTTTACAAAGGAATGTCATTTACTCTCAGACAAATTAGAATCAATGGAAATTTAAACCCCCCGAGGGATTCAATGATAAACCCGAGGGCGGGTCTGAGAGTAAATGATACATTCCTTTATAAAAAGCTAGTTTTTTGGTATTCAATAATTTTCATTGAATCCCGCTTGCCTGTCCCTGTTTTTTTTTCTTAAAAACACTATAAAAATATTTTAAAGAACATTTTCTATTTGATATTTTTGAATCTTTCCTCTCACATAAATTTTTCAAAATAAAAAAATTTATTGTTTTAAGACTAGTACACAATTTACAGATTAAGTTTGCAACTAAAGGCACTATTTACTTGTTATAAGTTATGGCAGAAAATAGTCAAATTTTAAAAATATCAATGGTTTACAGCATTAAATTGCAAAAATTTACAACAATTTATTTTTTAGGCTAGGGCGTAATTATTTGTTTTTTTACTACAGGGCTGTTCTATAAATCAGTCATTATTTAAAATGTGAGACAGAAGATAAATAATAATGTGGGTGTTTCAATCGAAATACATAAACATATGGGCAATTAGTGTCGTAACATTGCTTCCAATGTTTGTTGAAATGGCTAAAACAATAGGGGGAGATGAATCCACGCGAGGAGATGATTTGGAAGCAGGATACGATACCGGACGGGATTTACTAAATTTGACAGTTGCATAATGTGCATTGCCGTATATTTTTTTGTAATCAATCAAAATGAATATTTTTGGGTCATTAATTTAGCTGAAAACTTTAAAATGAGATATCCTCAATCCCGATTACTTAATCTGAGTATCCAATGGAAACACTTTTTATTTTTTTATTATTCCTCTTTTTTTGGATATCCCTACTGTATAAAAGTTACTTTTGATAACAATTACAGATACGATGCTATATCAATTGGACTAATATCCGATTGAACTAAAGTCAGGTGTTCACAAGCGGGCTTTTAGAGCATAGAATATAAATTTTATCATGTTTATAAGAACTTAATAAAAAACATATTTTATTACATTTAAGGACTCCAGTCATTTTTAACGTTAGTCTTAATAAGCATTAATCCAAAACTTACATTCGTTCAATTGATCTTTAGTTCAATTGATATGAAATCATCAACACTAGAAATGCGCAAAAAAAAACGGTTTTTAAAAAGTTAAAGAGTGCATCTTAACATGACACGCTGATTGGTTGAATTTTAAACTTCTTTCATGGATATTGAATGCGCGCACTAACCTAATTTTGGGTTTAGTAAAACCAGGAGATTAAGCATTGATCTGGATATCAACCATTCTAAAGTTTTCAGCTCTAACCTCCCTAACAGTTAAGTTCAAACTTCTAAATCACCTTGAGTTGGAATTACAGATAACTCATTTTTGTAAATTACAGGAGATTTTTTTTAGGACTGTGACAGCCTTGGGAGATTCGAAATCCCTATTCCGAGTTATGCTTACACGGTAAGAAAATTAAACAGATTTGCTGTGCTCCCATGGATTTAAGGTGATGTAAGTTTTTGATGGTAAAGAGGGNTTTTAAAGTCTTTAAAACAAGACTAGATGAATTTGATCATTTTAAACTTTAATTATTTGGATAAACTTTTGTTTTTAAAATTTCATTTTTATGGGAGATAAAGTGTTACTTGCAAGATAGTTGTACTACTTATCCCCTTAAACTATTGTATTTCATACAAAAGCAGAAAAATCAAAATGTGGGTTGTTTATCATCAAAAAAAAAAAACTTATTTTTGCAAAATCGAAAAAAAATTGCTTCAAAAAGTTTGAATTCACTTCTTATCAAAACAATTGTCTTGAAATTTTCGGAAAAGATTGCCATTCAAAATTAAAATTAAGATTGAACTGGAATGAATTAATTTTTTATTTAATTCAGCAACATGGAATACACCCTAGGGTGTGCTGTCCCAAGGATCTTGAGAAAATCTCCAGAAAATCAAGATCTTGTCTCACCACCGATTCCTCATGTCCATCATCCACAGAGGGATTTATAACTTTCAGTTTAAGCATTTTATACAAGTCGTATTTTGCACTGCATTATCAGGCATCAATTCCAAACTACTAACTAACTAACTGGAGTAACTAAATTGTGTTCTTATGTCTTTATTTCCAACCCTCTGGATGAGTAACAAGTGCATTTACTACCATTTGAATGAAATTTTGCAATCTCATGAATTCCTTTTTTGGAAATCCTATATTGGCCTTTGACTTTAATGATTTCAAAAGAAGAAAGGATATTTTTATAATCAGACTGAAGACCCAGAATATGAAGAATTAGCTGTATTAGCTGCAGGTAAATGCATCAATCAGATCTTTCTGGGTTTGGTTCCTTGTGTTACATCTGTTTTTAGGGCTGGACACAATCAGACTTTCTTCAAGCGTTCATTCTTTTTCAAAGTTTATGTTCGTTAAAGATCTCATTTTTTTAAATTAATTGTTATTAAGATATCATTCACGATTATTTAATGTGAAAAAAATTGAGCAAATTTGAAGACAACATTTAAAAACATCCGAACACATATAAATCTTTAGAATCTATATATAAATTTGGCTTGTCTGTCTGTTTGTTTGTTTGTATCCAATAAACGTCAAAACGGCTGAACCGATCGGGCCCAATTTTTTTGTGGGACATCACGTGACCACAGGGAAGGTTTATGAATGATAAAAATAAAAAATAAATGTGTTTTAAAGGTTTTAAATTTAAAAAAAAAAATTTAATTCTTGAAAATCTGCGAATTTTTTTTAAAAATTAGCAACATTTTTTTCTTCTTTGTTTTAAAATGTAAACAAAAAGAACATGTTCACAATTTAAATAGAAGATGGGCGCGAAGCGCCCTAAAAGCCTAGCACATCAAATGTATTTAACATTTTCTGTATTGCGTGCAATATTAAGTTGAAAATTAAAATTAAATAAGTCGTCATTCTTTTAAATTACATACTTTGGCTCTTATTATATAGACCCCTAATTTTTTTCTAGAAGGGCTATTTCCATTAGTTAAGAATTCAAAAATTAACAGTTTTGCCGTTTGTTAACTGACTCTTCTGCCAATTTTCAGAAACTTGCCACTCATTAATGGAACATTTCCCAGCCCTATCTTAAGAGACCCAGCTAATTAAATTCAACAAGAGCAACACATTCAACACACACCAATTCTTTACCTATCTAGCTTATCCAGGGTTTCTTGCTTCATTCCCTGACATTATAAAATGCTTATCCTAAGTACATTTGATTTTCCCGGCGGTACTTTGCTAAAACTAACTAATAATTTTCATAGAATTTATACTGGCCATGTTCAGTCTTTAAAGAGTTAATCATATCACAATTATAATCTACCTCATTATAGACACAAAGTATTAAACCACCTTAGTAGACATAAAACATGTCATTTACACTTTAGATGTAGATGAAGTACCAGCTGCAGAAGAAAACCTTGATGAGACTCAAGATGAAGATGAAGATGATATTAAAGTAAAAGTTGAGAACCAGAATAATGATAATGAAGATACTGACATGATCGATGAGCTTCCAGATGAGGATGAATACTATAATGATTATGTAAGAAATTAACTGAATTTCATTAAAAATAATTTTATTTTTTGATGACATCTTAAAATAGTTTAACTTGCAAAATTGTCATTTTCATGAAAGTTAGCGAACTAAAGATTTAAATGCTCATATTAAAGGGAGTGACCAGCAATGTATGGCCGGTAGTTGAACTGAGAATTTAGTATTGACATGGTTTTATTGGGATTATATATAAATGTCTAAATAGTCCAATCTCTATACAACTGAATAAATGTATTAATGTTTTAAATATCAATCCTAACTTGTTTCTTAACTGCATTTGTTTTACAGGAATAATGCGTTACTCACATAAAGTACAAAATATCACATTTTTTATCCTATTAATATTTAATATTTTCCCCCAACCCCAGCACAGTTCAGCATCAATGCTAAAATATGTAGTACCTATTCAATAAAAGTGTTCCAATTTAAATTGACATCCAGCCCTTCAGTTTGTTTTTTTAACATAAACAATCTGTATTTTGTCATTTGTCATTTTATTTTGGTCACACTGGCCAGAATATTGTTGGCTGTCCTGCAGAAATCTCTGATACATCTTACAATAGAAAAGTTCTCCTGAAGTCTCTGAAGTTCTCTTGAGCAATGTGGAGACCAATTGTCAAGGTGTTGAAAACTCAACATGTACTTCATTATCCAGGTAAATATGCAGAAGTAGGACTGGGCATGATTTTTGACATTAAAATTAAATAAGTTACCATCATTTTAAACTATAAACTTTGGCTCTTATTATATTGACCCTTAATTTTTTTCTAGAATGGCTATTGCCATTTTTTTACCTTTAGTAGCATTTTTCGTTCTATGTTCTTCTTTACAAAATTGTTCAGTTAAATTAATGATTGTCTCATTTGTTAACGATTAGGTTGATACCAGTGGTTAATCAGTACATAATTGGTAGAAAACAATTCATGGGAGGGGTGGTAATAGGGGTGTGTCCCGTGGGTCCAGGGAGGGGAGAGGGGGAGGTAACTGAGCTTACTTAATCTTATAAAACTCATAGTTACCACATATAAGTAAAACTTACATATCCTTGTTTTGTTTTACATTTTTCAAAATTTCAAAACTAATAAACGATAGTTTTTTCGCTCGTTTTTAAAATAATTAACAACCCTGCACAAGAGGGGAAAGGGGAGGGGGGGATTTTAAGTCCAGTTAAAGAAGTTATCAATACATTCAAGCTTTCCAATTTAAGTTCTATTGCAGGTGTACTTTAATAGATGAGTTAAACTTAAACCCAGAAAATCTAGAAACAGCAACAAGGTTCTGTAGTTTTGACGAAGAATCTGCAGAACTTATGATTTGTTGTCCATGCAGTCAGACTTTAGATATAGGGATTAGGTCATCTGCGATTATGACGAAGACTCAATTCCCATTGTTTTCAAAATTTGTCCAGCTGATATGTTTGTCCTTTCATTAGATTCTTCCTATGTCCTATTTCATAAAAGTTCTCAACATATTTTTTTTAAATATTGAAAATGTAGTATGTATACATGTATTGTAAATTCATACCTTTACTCTAAGGTCTTTTTCTAGGATACTTCTCCTTGCTTTTAAAAGTTTAAGAACACCAGCCTTTAAAGGACTAAAGTGTCTTGAACAAAACCACCGTTTTTTGCTACATTTTTTGAGTTTTAAAGGACATTACGCAAAAAATATGAATTCTCTCAATCTACGAGCTCTACAGTACCAATAGCTAGCTAAAAATACTTGGGCGGCAGCTCACAGTTTCATTGTGGATTTTGGAAGATTTTGAAAGATTTTGAAAGATTTTGGCAAATTGAAAAAACTAAATGGAAATCAGCTGTTCCTGGCCAGGAAGTTAAGAATGTAAGCCGGAAGTGCGTCATTTAGACAAGGAATAGAGCAGCAGACATAATGACGAGATAGTAGAGATAATTGATATGTTAATCTCAATTTGAATCAAGATTTAATCAAACTGTGGTATTTTATTGATCTATATTTAGTGAAATAGACCCTGGCACTAACTACGTGAGCAGTGTTGACATGTTTTCATTTACCATTAAGACCTGTTTAAAGTCCTGCAATTGGTGCGCCAACAAGGTAAAGATAAATGTTTGGTCTCTTCTCTTTGTTATCTTACACTTTTTAAATATAATTTTGCTTCTCAAACGGTTTTGATTCTACAGAACCCAGAACTTCAGAGACATCAAAAGAATTTATAAAACCTTCTTATAATAAAATGCTACAGATATTAAGTTTTTAATTTAAAAATCATATTGAGCTATTAATGACTGTTATTAGGCTATTTATTTATTTTACAATATCATAGTATTAAACCCATTGAAAAATTGTCAAGACTACATTATATAAATTCTTTCCTTGTCTTAGCTCTGGATAAACTGTATTTGTATTAGGGTTGTGTGGATGAATTTGCATCCTGTCCCCAATGGGCTAAAGGAGGATACTGCTCTTCTCATTCTTTCTTTATGACTCATTCTTGCAGGTAAATGTAATATGAGATCTCAGAAATACAATAAATATATATTATATACCTAGGCTATAAACAGTTGTTTTAGTATTATAATAAACTGTTTTTCAATAGTTTGTATTGTAAGATTGTCTGGAGAGAATTGCAAAAAGTGTTCTGTATGATTCTCTAACAAGTGGTGTCTTTTAAGACAACAAAATTTGATTAGGAATGTTTTATTTCAATTCAATTATTTTAATGAATGGTCAGATTCCTCATTCTTTACTTTAAGCAAGAAACCCAATTGCTTTTAAAATTAAAGTACTAGAAATGCCCGGAAACATACAATGATTGTACAAAAAGAACACCACAGCAGACTTTTTGCATGGTTTAGATTTTAAAAGAATGTATTTTTCATAGAGAGAGTTGTGGAACCTGTGGATTTCTATCAAGTTTAAGCAAGGAGAAGCAGGTCTACAATAAGCAATCTTACTCTCGTATTTCAGATCCTGATTTTGACTGTGGCAGGTATTCAAGCATTAAAAAAAAAGTTTATTAGTTACATTAAAATCAAGGGTGTTTAAATAACTTCTGATAGGGCAGATACATGGGGGAAAAGGTTTGAAAAGCTATGGGGTTGCAGCAAAACTGTACAATTACACCATTTTAGATATCGTTCTGTTCTTAGATTGTTAACTATTTAGAAATTAAAGGTTTTGGTTGTTTTTAAACAAAATTGTCCATTATTTTTCAAAAACAAGCCATTCATTAACAGAATGTGGCCCAATCTTAGTAAAAAGGGTTTCCAAGAAGAAATGTGCCAACCTTTGTGGTGGAACAAATTAATTAGCATAGGCTGATGATTTCCATCCACAAAAGATAAAGGGCCAAAATTCATAGCATTGAAGAAATATTGTGATATCAATTTTATCATAATTAGTTGACAATTAGACCTTAAAAGAAAATGTCTGAAGTGTTTATTTAACATCCATATTTGGCAGGGTTTGTAGTTGGTAGAATTTTCTCAGGTCAAAGTCCACATTAATTTTTTCCAGATATAAATCTTTTGATGATCTGGAAAGCATTGGTGTAGAGGTAGCTAGAGGTAGAGAAGGTACTGACTTCAATGAAACTGAAGAAGCAAAGTCTGCCAAGTAAGTATTCCTGTAATACTTTCCTCTACAATGAAATTTCACTACGATGATGAAACACTTGGAGTGAGTTCAGTAATTTTATATAATCTGTCAAGCTATTATAAATTATTCGTTCTGAAATCAAATTCTAATTTAATCCCTTTCAAACTTCTTTAACGAAATCTTTAAAACACCAACCTTGTATTTGAGAAGATCCTTGCAGCTATTTTTGTTGATAAATACAAAGTTGATGATATGATACTTTTAGAGCTGAGAGAGTAGAGGAACATCTATCTGAATGTAGAAATATAAGGTAAGAAAAGAATGGAAAGACAAAAATTATATATTTTTTACGGAGAGATAAAATGTTTGTATTTCTTAAACCTATACCATACTTATTTACCACAAAATATGCAATTTTCATACATTAAATGTTCAATTCTTGCATGAAAACCCTACTTCAGGTGCATCATCTGATATCAATACCCACATGCTTGGACTTCTTTTACTTTTTGATTTTTAAATTGCTTAATATCGGATGTGGTCATGGTTATTAAGACTCAAATTCGACAGAAATTTTTTTGGTAGAGGGGGCCGGTCCTTTTCTTTAATTTGGCAAAAACTTATCCCTCTTGCAAAATACCCTGTTAATGAAGATGTTTAAAGGATATTCTTGAGTTGTGAGGTGTTTTATGAACAAAGAGAATACAATATATATTAGATTGGCATTTAGAAAATCCCTCGATATGAATTTTGTCAGTCCCTTTCAGCCTGAAAGGGAGTTCAAAATGTACAAATCATGTAAATGTTCACAAATTATCCTATCCATTTCAATTTCAAATTTTTTAAAGCTGTTAAATAAACTTTAAAAAATGAATTAAGTGAATAAAAAACATCATTAGATTTAAAGTTACAACGGAAAATCATCGTTTGTAAAGTGAAAGGCATAGAGTCTATGTGAAATGATCATTGGTCAATTATGAAACCAGCCTATATCATAATTTGGTTTTCTATAAAATGATGTTCCAGGGCCCAAAAGGTTATATAGCAAAAATATGTGAAGTACAACAGTACAACAAAATGGCCGTTTTACACTTTTTTTTAGTAAATTCCACTCTAATATATATTTTATTCTCTTTGTTTATGAACCAGGGAGTTAATTTAATGAATTTGAGATACGTTGCTGAACAACTTACTGCCAGCTCAATTTGAACCACCAATTGGAAGTTTAAGACTAAGGAAAGATTTAAGTCAGTGATTCAAATTTGAACTGGCGGTAAGCAGTTCAAATTCATTAAATTCAGTCCCAGGATAGCACTATAGCCAAGTATTGTACAGCGCCTTTACTTTTTTGAGAATTTTGGATGCCTGACATTCCAAATTTTAACACCTTGGACAATTATGTTAACAAAGGGACTAAAAGTTGTATATCAGATCCAAATCTTTCATTCATTTTTTTTTAGAAATTGCATACAAAACTAAATAGACTCGAAACTAATGTATGATTTGAAAATGTTTCAGCATGGAAGATGACCCAGAGAAAGTTTCATTTGGAAATGTTAATTCTGACTCTAAGATATTCTGTTCAGCATCAATAATAGCAGACAGGTAGGAATGCAAGATTTGTTTGCAAACTTAATTTTGTTTTGATTTCACTATCCATCTTTAAGAATCTTTCTAACAAATTAGCCAGTTTCTTTATGCTCTCTGAAATAAAAACACTAACATATTAAACCTTTAAACATAAAAAACATTTCATAAAAATTGACTGTTTGAATATTTTAATGTGGCAAAAAAAGGATTTCCTCTATCAACCCCCCCCCCCCTCAAGATAGGAACGGGGGTATATTGCTTAAAAATTTGGTAAAAAACTGTGGTATAGTAAAAACTGAAACTTGTATACAAAATATCCTCAGGCCCTCATGATTTCTTTAGGGAGACTGGAGGGGGCGAGGGGGCGAAGTGGTGTTTGATGAAAACACCACATTTAATGGAGTTCTGCTATGCTTCAAGGGGAAAAATTAGATTCCTTGGGGTACAGAACCCTTGAAACCTTAATCTGATTGATAATGTTGAAGATAATGTCGTTTTTTCTAGTTTTTGTTCAATTCTGATAATTCATGAATGTTTTCCTGCAATATAAATGCGCAAGTCACTCTTTTACAGAAACCACGATTAAAAAAAATTTCAAAATATACATTAATATCAAATTTATATTCGATTAAACAAAGGTTTTAAGGGTATCATTGTGAATCGAGAATTGCCATCTTTGCATAGAGATTGTACTTTAAAATATGATCAGTGAATACTGCTCCTTTAAGCGTAAGATCTAATTGTGATTATCTCTTCATTAATATGTACTTTCTATCATAATCAATATATAACCACCTTAAAGGGAGTGTTCGCAAAAAATGAAAGGTGGCATAGTACAAATGGAATTAAAATTAGTAACGATACATATCGAATTCAATTCGACGTCAAAATATACCCCTTTCATTTTTTGCGACCACTCCCTTTTAGATGGATGATAACTGCTGCCCACTGCCAAGATGAAGTCAAGAGCCCGGGTAGAATAGTATCACAGATTCTACGAACATCATTTCCACAATTTAAGGTTTAATTGGAATTCATGAGTCTTTGTCACAAACTCTTTTGTCTAATCCTTATCTGTGCAACCCAATGTTTCAAACTATGAAATCTGTTATAGTAAATAAGTTTCAAATATCAAAGGTTTACATCCTCAGGATACAAAAATATAGGGTTTACAAATTTGAGTTTGTGGCAAAAAAAAACAATTTGTTTGAATTGCAAATTTACGACTTTTAATTTTGCAGATTTTTCCCATTTCTGGGCAATTTTTTAGGATTAGATAGAAATAATAAATTTAATCATCTTTGCTTTTCTATACTTTTGGGGTTGAGAAGGATTGAAGTGTCACGGATTCTTTCTCGGCCTTCGCGGGTATCCTATTCTACAAAAAAAAAAATTAAGCAATGTACTGTAATAGGGTTTCCAACAGGAATTTCGTTGCGCAGAATTGCGCGCAACTGTGTGGAATTTTTTTCGAATTGCGCTGAATTACGTACAGGGATAGCAACATCAATTCCACTTTAAACTTGATGATATATTTCAGGAATATGTTGAGGTAAAACGTACCTTTATCCATCCTGGATACAAGACTGGAGAACTCAACTCCGACATTGCTCTTGTAGAGCTGGGGCGTCGTGTAGAGTTTAATCTAGATGAGTTTGGAGATACTCCAACCTGTCTAGATCAAGGTCTAGATCTACCTGGTAGAGTTGCCACAGCTCAGGTACAGTCGTCGTCGCATATATCAATACAATCAAGACTACTACCACAGGTGGTAATTAATGAATAGTTATCGAATTTTCTGCCAAAGATATCAAAGAAAACGATTTTGAAAAACAATCTTGAAAAACAGTTAATATCTTTGGTCGGAGAAAAAGATTAGCTTAACGCAATAAAATCAAACTTATATTTTAAACATCTCAGATTATTTTAGAAACGGACCTCAAACGATGTCCACCCCTGCCTGAGAAACAGTTTATTCTGAAAATACCTCTTTTTAGGGCTTTGGAAAGACAGAATTGGATAATGGTGGTAATTTGTTGGAAATCAATGTCACTTTAATCGACACAAGCGAGTGCATTGATCAACTTGAAACCTTCTTCAAAACTAAACCAGTAAGTTTATAATATTTACTTTTCTCTACTTAATACTTCAGTTAGGACAACTGAGCTGAAAATTTTAGAATTGTGGATATTGAGATCAATGCTTTATCTTCTCTTTTAGATAATCTTAAGATTATTTAAATCTTTAGTTTGTATCCAATAAAGTATATAAAATTCAACCATTCAGACTGGCGTATGCATAATACCAAACAGCCAATCAGAAGCCGGGAAAATTAATATCTAAAATTTAATGAGAGAAATCTCATCCTATGGAATACGGTAGGATATCCAAAAAGAGAGAAAAAGTGCGGTTTAAGAAGAAATCAAAAGTTTCCACAGTGGTTATTCAGATTAAGCGATCGTTATTAATGTCATCCAATTCTTAAGTTTTCAACTCTGATGAAGATTTTTTTCTGGATTTTTTTTATATATATATATATCAAGAATTTAAAAAGACCTGAAGGGAATGTAAATCTTTTTCAGAAAACAAAGAAGAAATTTTGTGACACATTTCCTCTTGGAATATCTGATGATCACATTTGTGCCAGAGGCATTAAAAAGGTAAATTGGTGTCAAATTTCATTAAATATATAAAATAAGCATACTATGAAAATAATGTATCAACATAAAGTTTGAATTTTCGAAATTTACATCTCCTTGTCACAGCTGATCTGACGGCATTCTGTCTGCTCAGAGAGAAAGCTTGCAAAACAGTCTCTTATTGGTCGAATCAGAACCAATCCTGACTTGGGTTTTAGTCGGGTTTAAGCCTTTAAAATCTCATCTCAGTTATGACAACTGAGCTGAAAACTTTAGAATTGTAGATATTGAGATCAATGCTTTATCTCCTCTTTTAGATGATCTTAAGATTATTTAAATCTTTAGTTTGTATCCAATAAAGTATATAAAATTCAACCATTCAGACGGGCGTTTGCATAATCCCAAACAGCCAATCAGAAGCCGGGAAAATTAATATTTAAAATTTAATATGAGAATTCTCATTGTTCGGAATCCGGTAGGATATCCAAAAAGAGGGGAAAAGATTGGATTAAGAAGAAATCAAAAGTGTCTTGCAGTGGATATTTAGATTAAGCGATTGTTATTAATGTCATCCAATTCTTAAGCTAGTTTTCAACTCTGATGAAGATTTTTTTTCTGGATTTTTTTTATATATAAATCAAGAATTTAAGAAGACCCGAAGGGAATTTCAATCTTTTTCAGAAAACAAAGAAGAAATTTTGTGACACATTTCCTCTTGGAATATCTGATGATCACATTTGTGCCAGAGGCATTAAAAAGGTAAAAAATAACAAAAAATACATGCAGAAGGAACTGCAAGACATAATTTGTAGAGGGGCATGTCAGATTAGCAACTCTTAAAAGCTTTAAAGGGAGTGACCGGCAATTTATGATAGTTGAACTGAGAATGTAGTATTGTGGAGAAATTTTTTAGGATTCATTTAAGACATATATAAAGTTTTAATGATGTATAACTGCTGAGTTTGACCGCAAAGTCGACTTTCAAAATTATCCATTTGGGTTGTTAAATAAACTGTAAACTAAATAGATGTTTAGGAACACATTTTTTAATTGAAATTTTCTTAATAAATCAATATTAGAATCAATTATTTCTTTTTCATCATTATAATGAATTTCTTCAAATTCTTCAAATGTCGTCATTTCAATAAAAAATTCCAGAAAATCTACAGAAAATGGATGTGAGCAATGAAACATTACAGAAACAAAAATTTGAATAAGATTACTTATTTTCGATGATTAATTTTTATTTTCTCAACCTAGGTTCCTAAACAACTGATTAGTTTACCGTAGAATTGTTGTTACATTTTTCGTCATGGTTATTTTATGATTTAGAAAAAAATCGATTCTCAAAACGTAACCACCCAAATGGATGATTTTAACGGTCGACTTTGCTCTCAAACTTAGTAATTATGCATCATTAAAATGTTATATATATATCTGAAATGAATCCTAAAAATTTTCTCCACAATACTACATTCTCAGTTCAACTACCAAACATTGCCGGTCACTCCCTTAAAAGCTAGAAAAACGAAAATGTCTTCCATTCTGTGAATCGGTCATGCCCCTATTTTTGAAATGGAAGGTCGCATGAAAATACAAAGAGAGTCTTTTAAAGAATTATTACAAAAACAACAAATAATATTTATTTCCTTATTTAGGAAGATGGTATAATTACAGCATCTTGTAACGGGGATGCAGGTGGACCTGTATTCCTGGAGGTTATAGTACTTTTCATTTTTATATATTAATTATTAATTATTGAATATTAATTTTANGTATACAGTACAACAGGTGAGTGTATTTACTAGTATACAGTACAACAGGTGAGTGTATTTACTAGTATACAGTACAACAGGTGAGTGTATTTACTAGTATACAGTACAACAGGTGAGTGTATTTACTAGTATACAGTACAACAGGTGAGTGTATTTACTAGTATACAGTACAACAGGTGAGTGTATTTACTAGTATACAGTACAACAGGTGAGTGTATTTACTAGTATACAGTACAACAGGTGAGTGTATTTACTAGTATACAGTACAACAGGTGAGTGTATTTATCATTTACCAGTATGCAGTTCACCAGGTGAATGTATTTACTAGTATACAGTCCACCAGGTGAGTGTATTTACTAGTTAGTATACAGTACACCAGGTGAGTGTATTTACTAGTATACAGTACAACAGGTGAGTGTATTACTAGTATAGAGTACAAAAGGTGAGTGTATTTACTAGTATAGAGTACAAAAGGCGAGTGTATTTACTAGTATAGAGTACAACAGGTGAGTATACTTACTAGTATACAGTCCACCAGGTAAGTGTATTTACTAGTAAAGAGTACAACAGGTGAGTGTAGTTACTAGTATAGAGTACAAAAGGTGAGTGTAGTTACTAGTATACAGTACAACAGGTGAGTGTAGTTACTAGTATACAGTACAACAGGTGAGAGTATTTACTAGTATACAGTACAACAGGTGAGTGTATTGTTACTAGTATACAGTACAACAGGTGAGAGTATTTACTAGTATACAGTACAACAGGTGAGAGTATTTACTAGTTTACAGTACAACAGATGAGAGTATAATTAATTACCAGCATAACCTAAATTTTTCATAAAATTGTCCACAATTTATATAATAAATAGTTATCTTCTTTGAAACGCAATAAGGATGCCATAAATATATTGAAGGAAATAATACATTATCAAGGCTTTTGAAAAATTTGTTTTCTTTAGAGGTTGGATATCATGTATCTTGGACATGTCTCCTGAGCTAAACTTTAATAAGGTAATCTATGTTTTCAGTTCTCCTGTTTATCCTATATTGACATAGTTTACTAGTATCTTAGTATCCTAATATCCTAGTATCATAGTATCCTAGTATCCTAGTATCCTAGTATCTTAGTATCCTAGTATCTTAGTATTCTAGTATCATCCTAGTATCTTAGTATCCTAGTAACTTAGTATTCTAGTATCTCAGTATCCTAGTATCCTAGTATCCTAGTATCCTAGTATCCTAGTATCCTATAGTATCCTAGTATTCTAGTATCCTAGTACCCTAGTATCCTAGTATCCTAGTATCCTAGTATTCTAGTATCCTAGTATCCTAGTATCCTATTATCCTAGTATCCTAGTATCCTAGTATCTTAGTATTCTAGTATCTCAGTATCCTAGTATATCAGTATCCTAGTATCTTACTATTAGTATTCTAGTATCTCAGTATTCTAGTATCTTAGTATCCTAGTATCATAGTATCCTATAGTATCTTAGTATTCTAGTATCTTTGAATCCTAGTATCCTAATATTTTAGTATCCTAATATTCTAGTATCCTAATATTCTAGTATCCTAATATTCTAGCATCCTAATATTCTAGTACCCTTGTATCCTAGTTTCTTAGTATTACAGTATCCTAGTATCCTAGCATCCAAGTACTTAGTGTCCTAGTATACTAGTATCTTATTATCCTAGTATTCTAGTATTCTAGTATTCTAATATTCTAATATCATAACACCATAGTATCTTAGTATCCTATGTATCCTAGTTTCTTAGTATCCTAGTATTTTTATATCCTAGTATCTTTGTATCCTAGTATTTTAGTATCCTAGTACCTTTGTATTCTAGTATGTTAAATGTATCCTAGTATCTTAGTATACTATTATTCTATATACCTTATATACTAGTATCTTATTATCTTATAATCCTTTTATCCAAGTATCTTATCGTATCTTAGTATCATATTCTATAAGTTTTATGTTATGACAACTATAATAAACCAAGGTATGAATAGAAAAGGTAGGATGGATAGGCTAATATGTAGATGTCAAATGTCTACACACACCCTATCCCCCTACTTTAAGTATACATACCTTGTTATTTTAATCTCAGGCTCGGGTGGAGGAAGCATGTCGAAGGTTTGGTGAGATAAAAGAAAACAAGAACCGTAGAATCTGTCTAGAGTAGGAATATTCTTGAAGAAAACAAGAACCGTAGAATCTGTCTAGAGTAGGAATATCCTTGAAGCCAAGTTTAGATCAACAATGTCTAAAAGCATTGTTGAAATATTCTCCAGAAATATATTTCTATAACATTTATATTATACCTTACAATTTTTATAATACTCAATTAATCGAATAATAGAGAAACATTTTCATTATAGAGAAGCATTTTCAGATAGAGAAACATTTACAGATAGAGAAACATTTTCAGATAGAGAAACATTTTCAGATAGAGAAACCTTTTCAGATAGAGAAACATTTACAGAAAGAGAAACATTTTCAGATAGAGAAACATCTTCAGATAGTGAAACATTTTCAGATAGAGAAACATCTTCAGATAGAGAAACATTTAAAGATAGAGAAACATTTACAGATAGAGAAACATCTTTAGATAGAGAAACATCTTGAGATAGAGAAACATCTTCAGATAGAGAAACATCTTCAGATAGAGAATTCTTTTCAGATAGAGAAACATATACAGATAGAGAAACATTTTCAGATAGAGAAACATCTTCAGATAGTGAAACATCTTCAGATAGAGAAACACCTTCAGATAGAGAAACATCTTCAGATAGAGAAACATTTTCAGATAGTGAAACGTCTTCAGATAGTGAAACATCTTCAGATAGAGAAACATTTTCAGGAAAGAATCACGAGAAAATATTTTTCATTGTTGACAAAAATATGTAAATTGTACTGTGTGAATATTGCATGCACAGGCACCTCTGCTGCCCCTTTTAGTAAAAGTAAATTCAACCTATATGACCGCGTCAACCTTGTTGCACCGAATAAGTCCTTCCATAAAGCTAGGTACAATACTAACTGGGACCGGAAAGGTTGACCCACCTGGGAAATTCAAATGTATTACGGCTTCCCGTGTGCAAGTCTTTAATTCAACCTATATGAAGCATAAAGTCCGACTGCCTCAACCTTGTTGCACCGGATAGCCCTGTCCATAAAGCTAGGTACAGTAAAAACTGGGACCGGAAAGGTTGACCCGGCTAGGAAATTCAAATGTACAACGGCTTCCCGTGTGCAAGTCTTTAAGAATTGGACACTTGAAATTACTGACTTAGATGTGTTCCAGTTTCTAGGATTGAAAACACATTTAAATAATGCCTCTGAAATTACATAGAACCCTCTCATGAAACTGATCTTGGCGGCACCAGAGAAAAGTAAGTTTAAAGGGTCGCGTCTAGTTCAACTAGCTATCTCTCTGATTAATAAAATTTTAACCTTTGAAATCTGTAATTTTGCACTTACGATTATACATCGTTCGTATTCCTTATTTCAAATAAAATTATATTTCCATATCAATAAATATTTTGTAAACTTTGAAATTGCATGGAAAGATTTTAATCCTGAAGGCTGCTAATTTTGCCTTCTTAATTGAACTAGCTAACATATCTTTACAAAAACGAGTAAGCTATATTTAACAGTAATTTACTAGTTAATTACAAGTAGGGTTGGGCAATGTTCCCTAATCAAACACCAAGTTTTTTAAAAAAAACGGCAAAAACCGTTAACGAACGGAAACAGGCGTCTTGAAAAAAGTTAACGGTTTATAAAAAAGGAACAAATGGAACGTTCCATTATTAGCTAAAGATTAAACGGTCAACAGAAATTTTAAAAAAGAAGCTATTTTAAGGGATTGAAAAAATTCTTGACGTGCTTAGCCTAAGTTACAAGTTACACAACACCTAGCAATATTACATGTAAAAATACAGAGTAAAGAAAAATTAAAGTAAGATTAGATAAACACAAACGCCTTTTATTTGCTGCTAAGAACAATCTTCTGTGAAATCTACTTCAGGCTCCTTCCCAAGCTGGAATTCAAAGTCGATCTGGAAAAATAATATTTTGTCATTTGTGATCAATTTAATTCTGTATATAACCACAGACCAATAAAAATATCAGATTTAATTCTGTATATAAGCACAGGTCACAGACCAATAAAAATATCAGATTTAATTCTGTATATAACCACAGACCAATAAAAATATCAGATTTAATTCTGTATATAACCACAGGTCACAGACCAATAAAAATATCAGATTTAATTCTGTATAACCACAGGTCACAGACCAATAAAAATATCAGATTTAATTCTGTATAACCACAGGTCACAGACCAATAAAAATATCAGATTTAATTCTGTATATAACCACAGGTCACAGACCAATAAAAATATCAGATTTAATTCTGTATATAACCACAGGTCACAGACCAATAAAAATATCAGATTTAATTCTGTATAACCACAGGTCACAGACCAATAAAAATATCAGATTTAATTAGGGTTTCCATTCGTTATAATTAACAAAAAAAGAACAAAATCTTAAACAGAATAAATGATCTGCACAAATTGAAAACTTATTATATTGTGAGGACAACTTTTTCTGTATTTCCCTAAATACATATCTATGGTTGTTTGATAATTAACATGCATTTTGGGTTGTAAAGATATTTGGATTAGAAAATCAGTTTGTGGCAAACTCAATATCTTTACAAGCAAAGTTAAAAGTACCACCATGAACGTGTTGTTTCTTGTTATACCTGTTTCCTGGAAACAGACGATTGCCTTCTCTCTGAGTTGTCATTTGTCTCATTTAGTTCGGTTATGTCACTGGTTTCAAACCTAGAGAAATTACAGAAATGTGATGACAGAAAAAGCAATCTATAATCTATAAATATAAATAAATATATTTTGCTTTCCATTCGAACGTCTTTATGTATCTAAAAACGTCAAAATAGCTAAACCGTTGGGCCCTAATTTAATTTGGAAAATGCGCCTATTTAAACTTAAAATCCGCAAATATTTATGTTAAATTTATGTTTACTAGGCTTTTAGGGCGCTTCGCGCCCATCTTCTATTTAAATTGTGAACATGGTCTTTTTGTTTACATTTTAAAACAAAAAAGAAACAATTCTTTTTTACAAAATTAAAAACCTTTAAAACACATTTTTTAAATTTTTATCATTCATAAACCTTCCCTGTGGTCACGTGATGTCCCACAAAAAATTTGGGCCCGATCGGTTCAGCCGTTTTGACGTTTATTGGATACAAACAAACAAACACCTAGACATACAAGCCAAATTTATATATAGATTGCCGTGTCCAATGAAAAAAGGCCAAATTGTAAAGTTAAAAGATAAAACTAATTGTAGAAAAGGGGCGAGAAGAATCAAGAATAATTCGATAATCATGATAATTTGTTTAAGCATTTATTTATATCGGTAAATTAATTAAATCTTTTAAATATAAAATCATAATTACCCGTGGATACAATCAAAAAGTTGAACAACCTCTTGTGCCACGTTGAGATCAAGTCTTTCATTATAGAAAGTGTTTTGATTGGTCAATGTTTCATCTCCTTCGGTGTTCTGATTGGTCAATATTTCATCTCCTTCAGACAGATCCACACCTTCATTTAAAGGACTGTTAAGAAAAAATGAAAGGGTAATAGGCTGAAACCAAACACTTAAGCAGTTGATTGCGACCAATATGAGTTCTATCGTATGTGTTCTGTCTCGAGAAATTGATATAAAACTGTGTCAACGTTATTACAAAAACTTATGTATATGAGATGTGGTATATAAATCAAAGATTTAAACAGATCACATGCAGCAAATACGCAACGAATCCGAAAATTACGACAACCCAAAGGAAGTTCTGGGACATTAGATAGAACTCATATAGGTCTCGATCAACTCCTGTATTGTTTAGGTTTATTTTCCCTTTAATTTTTCCTTAGCAGTTCCTTAAAGAAAGTATATTTAGATTTTAAAAAAGGTATAACAAAGCTAAAATATTTTTTAAACGTCACTAAATTTTAAATTTAACATCATCGACTGTTCAAAAGTCCTATTCACGCGTACTATTTATTTATAACCAGATTTTCTAGCTAAAAACCCAAAAAGTGTTGGTTATTTAAATAGAATTTACCATTCTAAGTTTTAACTATCAGGTAAAAGTTGCCCGGTGGCCGAATTTAAAGAATTTGAGCGGCGGTTTCAATTTAAGCCGCGGCTTAAATATGGTTGGTTCCACTTGAAATTGTATCAAATGTTTCAAGATTTAAGCCGACGTTTAATTTAAACCGGGTTTTGGCAGATTTAAACCGCTGCTCAAGTTCTTTAAATTCCATCTCTGGTGTATTGTAATTTAGGTAATATTTGTATTTTCAAATACGCCAACAATTCCTTTTGGCAAATGATGAAGTTAAGTAAAGAAAAGTGATGAGTTCCCAACCTGATGATTTTTGTTCAGTCTCCAAAAGTTGATCATCAATATGATCCGATGCAGTTGGATCCAGTTGATCAATATGATCCGGGGCAGGAAGATCCACAGGATCAATATTTTCAAATGATTCTAAAGTTGGAATCATTGACAAGATGTCATCAATGTTCATCTCGCTATCCTGAAACGTCAATAAGATTTCAATAACTAATAATCAAAACTTGAGCTTGTCTATTTTTGTATCAGACTTGTTGTGCAGCAGAACTTGGTGGCAAGTTAACAATTTCTAAAAATATACTGATGTCAGCTTACCAATTTTTCTGAGAAATGAGCTGAGTTGAAGTAACTTATTAGTTCAATTTCATCTTCTGAAATAATCAAATATAATTTTATAAAACTAATAATTAATAAGGGTCTGAGCTCGTAATTTTTAGTGACCCCCTCTTTATATAGAGTGCATGGCATGTCTGATGTACATCGGTACCCTTGAAATATTATCAAGAATGAATGAGATATCCCTGCTTTTATCTGACTAAAAATTGATTATAAAATGTTATGTGTACCACTGTGAATCGAACCACGGTGAATCTCTACAAATCGATAAAATCACTTAAATTGCGTCTGCAGTCTCTTTCAGATGGCAATCCGTTCATATTTAACCGAAACATACAGTCAAATTAGGATTTGAATATTTTATTTTATTTTTAGTTTTAGTTTTCCGAAAACGTGATAAAATTTTTTATCTTTATTGCAAGGGTTTTCTAACCTTGTTTATTTTTCTGCTGGTTTGCAAAATGTTCATCATTTCCTTCCCAAACCTTGACATTTTTCTCTTGATTAAAAACAGGGATGAATTCTTTTTCAGAAGATAATCCTGCTAAAGTAGATTCTCCTGATTCACTTGATACTCCTGAATTAGTTGATCTGACTGCTTCAGTAGATATTATTGATTTAGATGAAATTACTGATTCAGTTGATATTTCTGATGCAGATGATGCTCTATGTTCTGTTGAAGCTCTTGGTTCAAAAGATACTTCTGGTTCAGTTGATGTGACTGGTTCAGTTAATCCGACTGATTCAGTTGATGTTTCTGATTCATTTGATACTCCTAGCTCAGTGGATACTTCTGGCTCAGTTAATTCTCCTGGCTCAGTTGATGATACTAGCTCAGTTGATATTACTGATTCAGATGATCCTCTATGATCAGTTGAAGCTGGCATTGTATTGGATTCTGATCCAGAAAGTGATCTGGATTCATCCTGGGACTCTTCATCTACTGGAGTAGGGGAAGGATCCCTAAATTAAAGAAAAAGTCTTCATAAAAATCCAAATCGAATTTACGCAAAATGTGTCAGATTGACAACAGTAACCCTAAATGCTTTGTCTGAATTTTAAATGCATGATATATCCATATTCTCTTTAAAAACTGATTATTTTAAATTGTGGTTTGCATTTAAGTGGCTTTCGATGATTGAAAGACAATATTTCCAAATCAAACACTTTTTTAGCTAGAACAACGACAATATCTTCTTCATTATTAATCAGATAATAGTTAGCAGGGTAAAGTAGTAAATCTGGCATACCCCTCAAATGGAATATTACTTGAAATTACAATACGATGGTCTCTTTAAAACCTGTAACAAAATTACCTTTCAAATGAAATTGTATTAATCTTTTTCAACCTTTCTTTTTTTTGTTTGATTTCGTCAAAACTTACACTAAACAATTCAAAAAGTTTAAACTCTAAAAAGTAAATTTTAAAAAACACGTCTTTTCTCATCAGAAAATAAAAAAAATCAATTTTATATTCTAGAATTTTAAACTTTAAATTCCTAAACTGATTTCCTTTACTGTGAGAAGAAAGAGAAATCCCTCCAGTAGAATTTTCCCGACTAAAAATACCATTTCATTATTTTAAAAAATGTAATATAATGTAATAAATTATATAAATAAAGGTCAGCAAAAAAAGAAATTACGATTAGAATACTCAAGGTTTCAATCTAACATAAAGTAACCTTTAATTTGGCGTACGTCATTTTTCCCATTTTTATCCTCTAATTAAAGTATTAACTCTTTTTGAAACCTTGACAAATTTAAAGGAATTGAGTTTTTGTCACAATCTATATATCTTTGCAAACCACTGTATTAAAATTTAGAAATTTCAAACTATGAATTCGGTTAGATCAAATAATCTAAATTTAAAATGTCAACTGTTTACACCACAAGGTTACAAAGATATAGGGAAAATTTAAGTTTGTGGTAGAGATTAGACTAATTCCTTTTTTCCGAATTGTCCAATTTGTTAAATGTATATTGCATGTTCATAATATTTCATAATACATCAATCCATTTATTTATACTTTTTATCTTCTTTATTTTTACAAGCTTTGTACCCCTTACCTGGATAATTCAGATAATTTCATTCTATTAAAATCAAAAATTCAATTTTCTTTTTACACAATTCCATATCAATATAAGAAAGGAATTGAGTTTTTGCCATAAATTCTGAATGTTCAATCACTATTATCTATGCAATCCAATGTCGTAGACCTTATGTAGATATTTCAAACTTTGAATTTTGTTGGATCAAATAATTTAATAACAAAGGTTTACACCATCAGGTTGCAAAGTTACAGGAAAGACTCAATTCCTTTAATCAATTTTAATTGTTTTGGAAAACTTACAATTATTATTAAACCAAAGTATTTACAGTGAAACCCATAATAACGAATACATCGGAAGAATTTATTAAATGTCGTCTTGACAATTTTTCAATAAGTTTCATACTATATTTTTCAGTTTTAAAACGTTCCATGTAATCATTTAATTAAAAAACTAAATATTTGCAACATTCCATTATCAGAAAGTGAAGAATACGACATTTTATGAATTCTTTCGATGTATTCGTTATTATGGGTTTCACTGTATTTAAATCCTAGATTAACAATTTAAAAAGTAGAACTTGGAGTATCAGTCTACAAATTATATTATTCATGTGTATTTTAAAACTAAAAGTAAAAGTTTAATCTATTCCATATTAAGTTTTTCTTAAAAATAAGATTGAAATTTAAATCAAATTCTTCAAAAATTAAATGATTTTCCTTTTCGGCTTCTCAGGTAGAGGAGGAGGAGGTGAATCTAAATTAAAGAGACTATAGACGTTATTTTAAGTGACCCTACATGTAAGAATGGCACAATTTCATACCTTTGCAGAACTATACTGATAACATAAAGAAGTATCTGAACAAGTGTTTAATTTTGTCAATTTTCTTCAATATTTATGCATGCAGTTTAGGTCCGCAAGTAACTTTTGAAAACTATTGAAAGCTCTATAGATAAAGATATCTCATTTATTCTTAATAAGAGAATGGTTTAAAGGGTATAGTTGTGATTGACTCATGCCACTCTATGTGAAGGGTCAACTTAAATATCCTCTACAAGCCCCACTGTGATTTCAAGGTTGCATGCAAAAATTAATTTTGCCAAATTAAACTTCTTAAAAACCTAAGCTAAAAAACAAGTGCTTTACAGTGCTACAGTGTACATCGAAAGAGCTACAGAAAAGCATTTTATATGAGTTGGAGCGGTAAAATTAAAGCCCAAAGCGAACGACACTTTAAAGTGGACCCTGTCTTAAAAGTTTATGAAACTTTTTATATGCAGGCTGAATCTATGTGGCCCTAAAATGCCACAGAAAAATTGCACAATTCCTGCAATGATCACAAAATAATAATAATTACCACCTTCTGCATAACTTAAAATATCTTTGATCTGTTGTTGAGCGATCTCTCGACTTAATCGAGAGTCTGATTGTCGAATCTGTTTTCTCAATAGCTGATTCTGATGATCCTCAAGTTCGTCTTGATGTCCAAGAAAATATACCAAGGATTCAGTCACAGGATTCAGATCTGATTTTTTTATTTAGAAAAAAATTTACAATTCAAAAAAAGTGTTTTGTTTTGATTAGACCCAAAATCAGAGTACGTGCTATGGTACTGCTATGGTACTGCTATGGAAAAGTGACAAACTGTAATTATTATTTACACCTATAACACACTTTAAAGAGAAATCAATTGTGAATTCTACTTCACCATGGGTCCCCAATGCAAATTTTGCCCCATAAAAAATTAACTCATAATTTTAGATGAAAATTTTACTGCCTTTTTAGATTTCAAATGCGCGATTTTTTCACGAAAATTTTGCAGAGCAGGATGTTATTTTACATTATTGTCCCTGAGGACAGTTTCGTTACTTACATCCCGCGCGGTGGGGGAAAATGGGTGCTTAATGGTAGCTAAAAGGCGGCAAAAAAAAGAAACTAAAAATAAAGACTAATTTAGGAAATGATTTTTCTGTATAAAAAATCCCTGATAAGTTTTCACAGATTTTTTTGGGTAATTTTTTCCGTTTGGTGAGAAGCTTTACTTTGGGCTCTTCTCCTTCCTTTAATTCTCGTTTTTTCCTGTTAATCTTTTTCTCTGCAACATCATGTTTAATCAAAATCGATTCTTAAAGGAACTGATAAGTGCCTCAAACTATAATTTGATAGTTCCTTTACTTTATAATTTAATAATCTCCAATATGGTAAAATATTTTTAAAACTTTGATCTTGCAGAATTCTTAGTTTGAAATATTTATATTCTAAGCTCTACGCTATTTGATGGCAACTATTTAAGGATAATGGCATTCCTAGTATGTTTAACATCGCAGTTCCTTTGCTTCTATTTTCTGCTTTAATGTTGGATTTTTCGGGAACACTATCTTCTGCTCCTGTTTTTTGAGCACTCTCTCCTGTTTTTTGTTTGCACTCTCCTGTTTCCTGAACAAGTTCTCCTGTTTCCTGACCTCTGAGAGGTCTTGCTGCTCTGGCCGGAGGTCGACGGTTTCTTGGAGGCCCCACTCTAAATCAAATATTTATCCAGAGTTACCCACAAAAGATGAGTCCTGAATGACGATTGACGATCCAGAACTGTTCAGATCAGATACACGATTCCAAGGAATTAAATTCTGGTTTGTGTTTAAAAATGATAAAACAAAATTAGGCATCCAAAAACAAAACAAGGAACTGCAGCTCCTGTAGCAAACCAGAAATTTTATAAATGAGTTCGACCAATTTCACACTGTCGTCTCTGATCATTTGTGGGTAACCCTGTATTTAACTTCAATGGGTGTGCAATTTACGTTTGATTGAAAAGAATTGAGTCTCTGCCACAAACTCAAAATGTCTAATAACTTTATCTTTGTAACATTATCTTGTAAACATTTGAACTTAGATGGTTTACTCAGAAAGAATTCATAGTTTGAAATATCGTTGCAAAGATATCAATATTAGAAAATCATAGTTTGTGATAAAGACTCCATTCCTTTTCGCTTATTATAACAAAGAAGCATAAAATTTGCGTTCCTATACATTAATGTACTGTACTGTACTGTACTGTACTGTACTGTACTGTACTGTAATGTTCCTATACATTAATATACTGTAAATTTTAATGATATTGGAAATAAAATATGTCTAAAATGGCAGCAAAAAACATAAATTGAAAAAAGAAATGTATTTAAATTTATGTGGGTAAACCTTTTTAGTATATTAATGAACAGAGACGACATTTTAATCTGACGATAATTACCTTTTAGGTACTGAGAGAACCACTGTTGCTTCAATATCGTTGAAATCAGTTTCAATGAGAGATGCGTTATCAGCTTTTTCTACATCATGTAAATATATATTTCTTGGGTAACCTTTCAAACATGGGGAGGGGGGGGTTCTTTTCTACAGTTAAAGCATATTCAATAGTGCAGTCTGATGAGGGGATATAAAATTTCATTATCCGCAATCCCCATACTAAATTAAAAATCGTTACAAAGACGATCTCAAAATCGTCACTCAATTCCGATAATTATTGGGACACCCTGTGTGTCAAATTCATGACTTGCGTTCAATTTACATTTAATTTAACTGCTAAACTTTAATGAATATTTATCTTTCAGTCAAAATAATTTTGGGAAAATAAGTAATTTCAAATTTGCTAAACCAAATCACAAATTAATTTTCTTTGTCTTCTGTATTCTCTGTATCCTTTAATTAATAAAATAATCAAGAATTAATTTGCAGCTGAACAATTTCTCAAAAAACTAATAGTTTTTTTTAGATAAACAGACGACATTTGTTCCCAAGTTTTCTGGTTCTTACTGTATACGTGTCATGCAATATTGCAGTTTGCTATTTCTGCTGATTCTTTAATATTTTATTTACGTGAGCACCTCCCTGCCCCAGAACTAAGATCCCCCTTTTCATTTGATATCTAAAAATAAAATAATTGTAATTAAACACTTTTAAAAACGGTTTTCAGGAAATCTAAATTTCATTCAGGAAATCTAATCTCACTTAGGCAATCTAATCATTCAGGAAATCTAATTTCATTTAGGAAATCTAATTTCATTCAGGATATTTAATTTCATTCGGGAAATCTAATTTCATTTAGGAAATCTAATTTCATTCAGGATATTTAATTTCATTCAGGAAATCTAATTTCATTCAGGAAATCTAATCTCATTCAGGAAATTTAATTTCATGCAGGAAATTTAATTTCATTTAGGAAATCTAATTTCATTCAGGAAATCTAATTTCATTCAGGAAATCTAATTTCATAAAGAAAATCTAATTTCATTAAGGAAATCTAATCTCATTCAGGAAATCTAATTTCATTTAGAAAATCTAATTTCATTCAGGAAATCTAATTTCATTTAGAAAATCTAATTTCATTCAGGATATTTAATTTCATTCAGGAAATCTAATTTCATTCAGGAAATCTAATCTCATTCAGGAAATCTAATTTCATTTAGGAAATCTAATTTCATTTAGGAAATCTAATTTCATTCAGGAAATCTAATTTCATTCAGGATATTTAATTTCATAAAGAAAATCTAATTTTATTCAGGAAATCTAAATTTATTCTGAAATTAAATTTTTTTCCGGAAATCTAATTGCATTTAGGAAATCTAAATTTATTAAGATAATTTATTGCATTCAGGAAATCTAATTGCATTTAGACAGTCAAATTGCATTCACGAAATCTAAATGCGTTCAGGAAATCTAAATGCAATCAGGAAACTTCATTTTTAAATTTCTAGACTTGTTCAAAACTAAATTAATTTAAAAAATTTACTTTTGTTCTGAACCATCTGAGGAGGCCAGATGGTCTGGATGGAAGTCTACGGAAGTTAGAAGGTTTAACTCGGGTTGGTGATCTCAGAAGTGCTTCTGAACTTACAGCATCAATGGCAGTCTAATTAAACATATAGTTTAACTCAGAGCTTCAGTGACATCGAAAAGATTTATAAAATGTTGTCATGACAATTTTCAAGGGGTTTTATACTTTGTAACATACCTATTTCTCAGCAAGCATGTTTTATAAAGTTCTAAAAAGCTCCATATATAATTATTCAATTAAAAAACCCTAAACATCTGCAGCATTCCAGTAACAATAGGTTTACATTTTATAAATTATTACGATGTCTCCGAAGTTCTTGGTTGAACTCAAGAGCATGGAGTATAAGGGAGATTGAATCGACCCGGCCCGACCTATCATATGATTATTCATGTTTTGCAGACGGTGGTTCATTTGAATAAGAAATATTTGTCCGATGTACATATACCGCGTACATGTATTAAAAATAAGTTATTATATACATACGGGTAAAAATTAGGCTGAATAACGAAAACAAATAATTTTTTTGGGATGCAAAAATATTAGCAATACATGAAGCGTATTTTTTTATAATGTGAAAAATTGTTTTTATTCACTATGGTATGGGAAGACGACCTTTTATGGTAGGGTGGGCCGGGTCGATTCCATCTCCTTTATATTCTATGCTTCTTGGTTAGACTATAACAGAAAAAACCCGTTTGCGTTCTTTATTGTAGGGTTGGGCACAACCCAAACACTGTGAACTTTTGAAGGTTTCATATTTCAAAATTGTGTCCATGTAAAATTAGCTTTTAATAAACCACGCAAAAATTGTATCCCAAGAGAAAATATACGGCAATAACTAACCAAAAAAACGAGATCGTTAAAGGTTCGTGTTTGGTGTCCCAATAGACATGGGAATTAAAAGACGACTTAAAAGTCGTCTTTGAACTCTGATATTTAATATATGGCAAAGCAAGTAAAAAAGAGATTTATACGTCTGACGAGCTTTTCATAAAGTGGTTTTCCTTTTTTTGTATCTTACAAATTTACGATGATATTAGATATTAAGACAATTAGATTTATCGAACAAATTCCAATTTGTACAAATATAGCAATATCTCCGTCAATTTTGAAGATACAGACCACAAATCTCAAGACCAAACGTTTTCGATATTAGATGTCTAAGCTGGAATACTGTTTTAAATCTGTTCGTGAAAAAATGCCGCATGGAACGAAGATGATATAAATGTCACTGAATTCCCATGTTTATTGGGACACCCTGTATAACCTGGGAGACGGGTCTGTATGGTTTAGCATGTAAGGTTCCAAAGAAGAAAAACATTTTATCCATTTTATGCAAACATGTATATACGTACTATAAATAGTATACTGACATCCAATCTCTATTTATGATCACTATTCACTGGTACAACTATTTTCATTTTATCACTCACAACGAGTCACGACTGATTTTTACATATTTTTTGCAAATACATGGATTTTAAAAGGACTGTAAGCGTAATTTCAAGTGACCCTCCATGGAAGGATGACAATTTTCCGATTTATCCATGCTCAAATTGGTGGGGAAGATAACTTCTTTCTCGATAATTTCTCCATTTCTGATGAGCAAGAAATGCGCAAGTCACTTTTGCAAAGAAACCACAGTTGAAACAAAAAAAATAGATCTTAGCAAGGTACTTATGCAAGGAAAGTTAATTGCGGACGCGGTCGCGTATACTCGATGCGTACATTTTGAAACCAGTTTTCTCTGGGCGGAATTTGTAAACAAGAACAGATGCATCAGTGTTCGTTTAGTATCCGAAGAGGTTAAAAGCATTAAATTTTAATCATTTTGATAATTTACATAATAGTTTCCTATGACCAAAATATTTCATAGATTATTTTTTTTGTGAAAATTTATTTTAGGTAATAATTTCGATCACTATTAAATAATGTCATTATATCTAAATGCAAGGTTATAATGCAAGGAACGTTAATTGCAGTTGCGTTTACTCTGCGTACATATTGAAACCAGTTCTCTCTGGGCGGAATTTGTAAACAAGAATAGATACATCAGCGTTCGTTTAGTATCCGAGGAGATTAAGAGCATTAAATTTTGATAATTCACATAATAGTTTCCTATGACCAGAATATTTCATTGATTTTTTTATGTGAAAGATGGATCCCATGTCAGGCTCCGACATCCGTCTTGTGTTTACATTTCCACCCAAAGACAGTACACTGCAGTACAAAAAATGCGTACACCTGTGAAATAAAAGAAAAATAAAAGAAACATAGTTTTCATAACTCTCTGCTCTATAATATTATTCACCGCTCTGAATAAGTTTTAAAATATTTAACGGAAATACTGTCTGATAAGGAACTCTCGTAATAATTGTGACAACACTTTAAATTTAATAACTGAAAAATTATGGGAACCATATGGTACAGGGATATCAAGATATCAACAAAGGATAATTCATCGACATCGAACTCGAAAACTTAAATTCAATCGTAACAAATTTTTTCGATTTACAAAAATTTAATATTTCATTTATGCCCTAACGTAGCCCGATTCTTAAAATATAGTTCAATTTTGTAGGATTAGACACTTAAAAATCCTAATGAGAGGACGAGGATTTCGAGGTGGCTCGGACGAGAAAATAATGAGAATGTGGCTCAGACTAGAAATTGTTGTGACTGACCTTCCTCCCCTCGGTCACAATTTGACCTTAATATAATCATATTTCCATAGTGTTCAGTCGTCTTTACAGTCTCAGTCTTGGTGGATAACTCTCTATAAATCATAAGTAATTCTGTCCTTCAGAAAAAGGTTAATGAATGATATAAAAAATACATTTGCTTAGGTTTCCTTACGCAGCCTTGGGACAGATACACGGGCAGCCGTAGTACATTTTAATTTCCAAGCCGGGCCAACCTTTCCAGTCCCAGTTTGTACTGTACCTAGCTCTATGGACATGGATAGCCGTTGTACCAAGGTTGACGCGGTCAGATTTTATACTTCATATAGGTCGAATTTACTTTTACGAAAGGGACAGAGGTGCATGGAAAGATACTAATAGTAAAGTTTTTAAGAGAATACTTTTAAACCATGTAGTTATGTAAATATTACTTTTCGACATTTATCATTTCTTAAAAAGTAACTTTCTTCACACAAATAAAATTTGTTGAGTCTCTTGAGTCTATATATCTTTATTGTTTCCATCTGACGTATTACAACTGAATACACATTACAGGACGCTATTTATATCTCCAAATTATATTCTCAGTAAAGGAGAGGGACAAAAATGCAATTATAAAATGATTAATTATTACAGTATTTGTTAGAGCTATTTTTTCAGTGCATGTCTTCCAACCAAAGCAATACCAAGGCCTACCAGACCACCAAACGCCAGGGCAGCGCCACCTACAAAAAAAGTACATAGATAAAATTCAAAAATTTCTCATAAAAAATATAAGGCTTTAATTAGCCGTGCAGGTTTTTAAAAAAAGTTCATGAAAAACTTTTGTTGTAACTTAACTTCATTTGGAAACTTTGTTGTAACTTTAGTTTACATGGAAACTTAATGTAACTTTAGCTTACGTAGTTTTATAAAGTTTATATCATGTTTGAAAAATGTTTCTTTATTTAAAATTTCCATGGACAAAAGCACAAGAGTTCCTTAAACCTTGATCACAACAGTTCCAAGCTTAAACCTTGATCACAACAGTTCCAAGCTTAAACCTTGATCACAACAGTTCCAAGCTTAAACCTTGATCACAACAGTTCCAAGCTTAAACCTTGATCACAACAGTTCCAAGCTTAAACCTTGATCACAACAGTTCCAAGCTTAAACCTTGATCACAACAGTTCCAAGCTTAAACCTTGATCACAACAGTTCCAAGCTTAAACCTTGATCACAACAGTTCCAAGCTTAAACCTTGATCACAACANCAGAAGCTTTTAGTAACAATAGCTTCCAACTCCTGAAATACAGAAGCTTTTAGTAACAATAGCTTCCAACTCCTGAAATACAGAAGCTTTTAGTAACAATAGCTTCCAACTCCTGAAATACAGAAGCTTTTAGTAACAATAGCTTCCAACTCCCGAAATACAGTAGCTTTTAGTAACAATAGCTTCCAACTTCTGAAATACAGAAGCTTTTAGTAACAATAGCTTCCGACTCCTGAAATACAAAAGCTTTTGAATTTTAGTTAATAACAGGCTTTGATATTCTATAATAACAGGTTGAGTTAATCGTTACTAACAGGTTGAGATATTAGTTAATTACAGGATGAGTCATTAGTCAATAACAGGTTGAGTCATTAGTCAATAACAGGTTGAGTTATTAGTCTATAAGTCAATTTCAGGTTGATTTATTAGTTCATAACAGGTTAAGTTATTAATTAGTAACAGGTTGAGTTATTAGTTATAATAGTTTGAGTTATTAGTCAATAACATTTGTTCATAACTAATCTAAACCCTAAAATAATGGCCAAAAATACATTAAATCAATTTTTTGAATCATAAAGAGAATTTAAGAGATTTAGTTTTTTATAAATTAAAGTTTTGACCTGTGCTTGTCTATTTCCTGGTTCGAACTGTAGTAGAGCTCTGACATACTTGAGGGCAACAGAATACTCTTTCAGCTTAGTATTTCCTAAACAGTTCTATCTCATTCTCAGAGAAAATAATTTTTAAATGAACGGTTTAACTCATTTCTTAAAGACAATTGAAGTTTAACCGCTCTCCCAATAGTCTTTGGGGACAAATGAAATATCGATTAATCTCTTAAATAAGATATGGGTTTAAACTCATTCGTTCAATTAAAAGTTGCCAGCTCATCTTTATTTAACATTTCAGGAAAATCAGNTAGTAGGAGAACCCAGACCGTCATCGGGTGAGCTCTGATACTCAAAGGAATTTCTAAATTGATGTTTAAACAATGTGCAAACTACGAAAGAAGCCTGGAACGCACCAAAAATTGTTAAATGAACATAACAAATTTTTTGAGGAAAATATATAGAAAGAAAATTGCCTGGCAATTTTGTATCCCCCCCCCCATTAAGTTTTGTTTTATATCCTTATTTGAAGAAAAAGTTTAATTTTAATTTTGCACATTTTTTTCCGCTTCTTCATTTCCTTGTCATTTTAAGTTTTCGTGTCTTGCAAAAAATTCGCAACCATATATTTTTGTAAAGGGAAACCAATTTTTTATGTAAAAATCAAAGTGTAATACTAAAACGTAATATTAAGAGACCTTTCATTTTAAGAGGTTTATACCTGATAAACAACGGTATAATATTTTAAATTCTATTCTAGATCTGAGCAAACTGAAGAAGATATCAATGTTCAGATAAAACATGAACATCTTAATTATTTTTACTCAGGCAGAAGGTTCAACTGGTGCTGTTTAGAATCAGACATGAACCTCTTTATCAGGAGGGTTACATTTAATTATGTGCACATGAACCCATTCATAATCAAAATAATTAATTACCAATTGCCAGATAGTATAAATAATCTCTTTTGTTCTCTCCATCATGGTCCTAAATCATTAAAACAATTTAAAAACTCAATTTTTATCATTTAGTGATGAGCATCAAATTAGATCACTTGAAAAGTTCTCAGGGTTTTAAACTATTATGAATTGTTTGATTAAAAGTCTGTTTTAGCAAATTAAAAACATTTTTCTGACTGGCCCAAAACTTTAATTTTAAAAAAGTCTTTTAACAAATATTCAAAAAATGAATGAATAAATTCTAACCTGAAATAGTTCCTCCAGGAGTAATATTCCTTTCCTTATATCAGCCTGATATCTAGGATGCAATAAATCAATTAATCAATCAATCAATCAATCATGCATTTAATCGATTAATCATTCAATCAAAAAGAAAAAAATCTTAACAAATTTCCATATTTATGTCCTAATCGATATTTGGTCTAATATAAACAAAAACACTTAAAAGATAATAAATCATGAATTATGTTAGGTTTTTGCAAGTCCTATACAACCCAAATAAAAAATAAGTTAACAGAAAAGGCTCAAGCTAATTATCACACTTAAAAATAAAAAGGAGAAACATGTTTAGGTTCACTCTTGAACTTTCGTTGCTAGAATTAATTAAAGATATCAAATTAAATAAGATTTCTCTACAAAAAAAAAGGCTCAGTAACATTATGCCTAGTTCCCAAATGCCTAGTTCGTGAATGCCTAGTTCACTATGCCTAGTTCATGAATGCCTAGACAACATTATGCCTAGATTTCTGAATGCCTAGATAACATTATGCCTAGATTTTTGAATGCCTAGTTCTTAATGCCTAGATAACATAATGCCTAGAGAACAAAATGCCTAGATTCATGAATGCCTGGATAAGATTATGCCTAGATAACATAAGAGTGCATTGAATGCCTAGACAATGTATTTCAAAGAGAAATAAAAATATTAAAGAGAGAGAAAAAACATACAATCCGGTAACATTTTTACAAAAATCCGCAAACAACTTTTTGAAAATGTGCAACTTCAGTTATAGATGCAAGAGAAAGATTATAAAGTTTGTTGTTGATGCTTTTGACAGCATGCCAAGAGCAGATTATATTTCTACTTTGGCCCATGATAGGCAAAAATTTGACCAATAAGATATGTAATAAATCATGTAAACATATTAGTATCATTTATTTATTGCTTGACAATGTCTATAGGCATTCAATTCAGTCTAATGTTATCTAGGCATTTGGTGACTATGCAATATGGAATCTAGGCATAATGTTTTCTAGGAATTCAGAAATATAGGCATAATGTTATATAGGCATTCATGAATCTAGGCATGGTGTTATCTAGGCATAACTAGCCATTCATGAATCTAGGCATAGTGAACTAGGCATAATGTTACTAAGCCCATAAATGGCTATTACAAATTGTGGTTTCTTAATTCGTGAGAATTCAATACTTTCAAATAACCATATTCTTCACATTATTTATCAAATTAAAGGTTAAAGGGTGCTGTTGTGAATCAGGTATGGCTACATGAAGGGTCGCTTGAAACATTAAGCGTAATTTCAAGTGACCCTACATGCAAAGATGGCAATGCCCGGGTGGCAACCGTTACCCTTGTAGCCTTTATCTGATTAATAATGTGGAAGATATTGTCGTTTTTTCAAGGTTTTAAATTCACTTTTGTAAAGAAACCACAACTGAAAATGATTTATTTTCAATATTGCCAACATTGACATATAATTCATACTTGATCAGACAAAGGGATTTAAGGGTACCGTTGTGAGTCGGACATTGCGATCTTTACAAGGAGTAGGGTTACTTAAAGTTACGCTTACAGTCCCTTTAAAAGAAGGATACTGACCTAGACCTGACCAGGCACCAGGCATATTCAAACTGAGAGTTAGCACTGGCCTAGGAAACAAAATATTGTCATTCAATTCATTTTTTAACTTATCTTGTACGATAGAAATTTGTACATGCAGGGGTGTATATTTTCTTTAAAAACCATCTTTCCTCCAGAAAATTGTAATGTGTAGTTGTATGGTTATTTGTTGTATGTCCGAACATAATTTGTGAGCCCCTGGACCGATTTGCCACAAATTTTGATTAGGGAACTCGGGAGAACCACAAGAATATTCTTAGCTTAGTTTTGAGATTCAAAGTTGAGTGGGTTGACTTATATAGGGGAAATCCAGACAAAGCTGGGTTCCCAAGCTAGCAATGAAATAAATTAAAACCTTTCCAGTTTGCTGAAGTTCTTCATGATACTTCTGCTCAAACTTTTTCAAATCTTCCACAGGCACTGTGTCATTTAACATGTGTTCCATTATTAAATAGTTTTTTTTCTGAAATAAACAATTACTAAAAATAACAAAATAAATAATGAAGTTTTTATTTCTGTTAAGTTTTTCCATATTTCGTTTTTTCTCTTTCTTTTTGTCTCGTTTTACTGAGTTTAAAAAACCAATTGCCAAAAATGTGTGTGAATGTCAAATTGAGGTTTTATAAATAAGCTGTATTTAGTAAAGTTCTTTTTAAATGCCTTGTATGCCTTTATGCCCTATATGTTAATCGATGGACGATGATGAGGTCTAAAGAGCATTCGGGGTTATAAATTTACCGATCCATTTTTAAGACCATTAAATTTTGAATTATATGTTTTCTTGGTCATCAAAAATTACCTTATTTAGACGAAATAAAACGAATGTAATCACTTAAACTTTAAATAATCTCTGCTTTGTTTTCATCATCTTTGTATTATTACCGTTGTCACGGCTAATAGTGTCAATGATGAAATTTCGTCTGCTATTCTTCGTATTACTCATGTCAAATCCTCCCAAAGCTTTCTTTCTGCAATATCTACTGATAGATGTCTCATTGTAATAGAGTGAACTCTAGCGGGTAAAACTTGCAATATACAAATAATTGAATTTATTTATTTTTGTTTGCCTTTCTAAGAAAGATAAGATAAAGTTTATTACTGTAATACAAGGATATATGTAAAAAAAATTAAGTTTTCAATTTTTTACATCATCATCCTTAAATTAACATTTTCTGAGTAGTTTTATTAACTTTACGACAGTTTTTCTTTAAATTGGTAGAATTTTTGGAAATCGTTGAATCAACTACCTGAATTCAGAATACCGTGCGGCATTCTTTGTGACATGCGCTAACCTGTTATTTTAATCTATTGTTGTCGTAACTTGCAAATTGTTGGAAGCTATATTGTTGCCGAAATAAGATTAAATTTATATATTTTCAGATAAAATGTCTGAGGAGGTGGAGAACTGTAAATCCTGTTTTGAGGGGTTCAATAATAAAGAACGTATACCTAAGGTGACATACTATTTCAAAAATTTCTTTGAGAACGAATTTTGTATTATTGATCTTGTGGCCGTAACGCTCGGCCCCCTAGCCTATCCTAGCCGCAGCGCTCGACTCAGAAATTGTTTTAACTTAATCTAACCCTAAAATAATATTAAATGAATAATAATTTTGCTGTAAGAAAAGTGGTGATTGGTGATCCAAAAATCTTATTTCTAAATTTTATATCGTATTGAATAAGCTCCCAAAGTAAATTTCTCGAGAAAACATTCAATCCGATTGTTTTCGGCTCAGTCCTGAGAATACGNCAAAAAGTGTATATGAAAGGAATTATTAATATTTATGCACAACGTTTTTGGGTTAGGTTAGTTAAATATATTTTTTGGGCTGAGCGCTGCGGCAATGGGATAATTTCTACTTGAAGTTTTGACTGTAGCACTAGCAACTAATTATCAAATAATAATATGTTCAAAGTAATTGAGTTAAAGAACAAATTAAACAAGCACTAATTGGAAAAATGCATAAAAATGACAATTTGAGATCTAAACTTAAGTCTTCCATCACAAATTAATTTCAAAATGTAAACAATGATACATTTATTGATGCAAGTTTTAGGTTTTAAATACTTACTTTTAAATAAGGAAAAAGTGACGCGTAATTTTAAGGTCTTTTAATTTACTGTGATTACTATAAATCAACATGAAACTGATTTTGCAGCAGTAAAATCTATTTGAGATGTATTTTTAAGAAAAATTCTTGTGAATTTTTTAAAACTGTATTTTTGGATGATATTTTAGATAACATTTTTATATTCAAATGGAGGAGTTGAGTGAGATTCTTCTACATTCTAAATAAGATAAAATCAAACAAAAAAGGCAGCATTTAGGCAGTTAACAAGTACGACTTTGATTTTTTGTCACAACATGTCTTATCACTGTACTAGAGTCATTTATACGCCCTACCTTTTAAAATAAAAAGATAATTTTGTTATAAAGTGTCGCAAGTGTTTGGCTGAGAATGCACTTGATTTCCAAGATTTCTTGAAAATGGATTTTCTGAAAATGGTTCCGCAGATATTTCTAATTTTTGGTGTCATATCTTCTATTACCATAGCGTAGGTTACAATGGACAGAACTAAAATGTCAAGCCAAACAACCTAAATTACTATTTAATTGCACTGTGCTTGAGAAGGTGGGCAATATTTTTTAATATCTTTTTTTTGTGTAGATCTTAGCGTGCTACCATACCTATTGTGCCCAATGCCTGGGTCAGTTTATGCTAAATAATGGTATTGTCACTTGTTTAAGCTGTGGGAAGGAAACTCAAGCTAAAAGGTAAACCTAAGACCAGGTTTAATGAATTTTGATACATGGTTGAACTTTGAAGACTAAGATGAACCTTTTCTTTTCTTGGGAAATTTTCACTGATTCAATATTGTCTTGTTATTCATTAAATCCTGTACATCATTTTCTCTAATTTTCACTTTTTTAAATTACTTTATGTTCGTATTTTTTTAATTAATTTATTCTAAACTATTTACAATAAATGTAAAATGTTTTATTGATTGTCTTTAATATTTGAGTGGATCAAATGAAGGCCTTGTAAATGGCCCAAAATCAGAGAAAAGTGGTAAACAGATTTTTAAAGATTAATAATTAACTGAGAATTATTTATTTTATTTTTAAAAATATTTTGAGTTAATTAGATAATTCCCAATCCACTGTTGTACTTATTTGTATTTTTTTTTTTAGAAAAATAGGCATCTAAAAATATTATTGAAATTTTAACTTGATTCAATTTAAGAAAGCCCAACATTGGTAACCTCTTTTCTCTCCTTCAAATGATTTGCTTCACTAATATTAAAATAGAAAATGTGAGAAATTATAATTGAAAAATATACCCATGGCTTTATTTTAGTGTGAATGCAATCCCTGACAACCCATACTATCGTGTCAGCAATGGTGGCAGAAACAGAGCAACTTCTGGTAAGCAAATCTTATTTATATCTAAGTCTTCAGAGTGTTGGCAATTAAACCTCGAACTAGCACGTAAATTAAGTAAATTGAGTAAATTAAGTAAATTGAGTAAATTGAGTAAATTGAGTAAATTGAGTAAATTAAGTAAATTGAGTAAATTGAGTAAATTAAGTAAATTGAGTAAATTCAGTAAATTGAGTAAATTAAGTAATTCATTATAAATTTAGAGGAATTAACATAAACATGTAACAGAGGAATCACTAAACAGATATTGCAAAGCTATCCTGTAGGTTTCTCTTTTATCATGTTAACTGAGGTTGCAATATTAACGTTTCTAATCTTTTTACAATGTTACTTCAAAAGTACCCACAGGGTTACTACAAAGAATGAATCTCTAAAGACAACCTGAAATTCTTAGTATATGATGATCATAGGTTAAAATAAATTTTTTGTTTTTATTTAAGTCTTTTATTGACTTAATTAATAATTTCTCAAAGAAAGAAAGAAGTTTAGAGTTGTAGAAAATCATAAATATAAGGAAACAGATGGTATAAATTCTGTACAGTTGTTGAAGTGTCATCCTTCGTGGGGGTAACCCTGTAGGTGATGAGCATTGATTAAATTCTTACTACTAACCTCCTGATTGATGTTAAAACTTGATTAGGCATATTGTACCCCCCCCCCTGCCCCCCAAAAAATGGTCAGAGAAAAAAGGTTATGGATAACAAAAAGTTACCAAGTCAGTAAATTAAAGATGTAAGGTACTGTAAAGCTCAATTTTACAAAATCTACATTTTACTGGTTTAATTCACGATATCGAAAATATAACGCAAATGAACACAAAACGAATACTTTATAGATTAAAATAGAAATAAAAACCAAACGTATGAATCAAGCACAGCGACGGTAGGATTCATTACGTCCAACAAACCACTCTGCCCCGTCCTTACCGGGGTATTTATTCACTCCTTTATGAAATATGAACAAATTATCAAAAAACCATCCTTCTGGCTAGGGTTAGAGTACAGCTATTAAGATTTGAAATTCAGCCTTCAGGGTTATAATATGATTGTTTAGTAATTAAATTTATAAGGTATATGCATTTATTTTAACTACATGAAGTGCAAGGATTAATGTCGTATTATCAAGACTACGTTTTTATCAGTTTCTAACAAACATTTGACAAAGAAAAACATAGATAACCATTAAACCAATTGAAATGCAAACAGGGCGCCATACAGTACACCATCGTCAATATATCAGCTTGGAAGTCCAAGCCAAGCACTAAGCATTATCTGGTTTTGTCGATGGGTGCCCAGCAATCTTCAACTTAAAGGCAAAGTACTCTACAAAGTCCCAAATACTGAAGAATGAAGCTCCTAAAAATAATCCCAAAGATCCTCCAAATTCGCCCATAAAGGAAATGAAGGGATACATGAGTTCTTCGTCTAATTTCTCATTAGTTTTTGACACCAAATTTATGCTTATTTTGAAAGAGTTTGGATCTTTATGAGTGAATTTCTGTCTTTCATCTACTAACCTATACTCATAATAATCACAGCGCATTAAACATCCAGTTTTCTCTTGTATTGTATTCTTGTCCTCATTATAGTAAAATTCATATAATTCCTCATGTTGCCTGATCTGGTCCATTGTTGAGCAGTTTGGGTAATTACCAAATATGTTATCCCAGCGGGGATGACAACCGACTGAACGAGCTCCATATTTCTGAATACAGGTCATGTAGTCAAAGGTTGGGTCAGGATCACATTTCTTATTTCCATCTGCATCATGTTCTAGATATTTATGATGATGAACACTCAGAAAGAATGTTTCCCCAGTTCCATTCTTGTTAGTTGAGAGTAGTTTGCTGTGTACAAGTTGAATGCGGCTATAGGTCAATGGATTTGATGCTATTAAGAAATAGTTTGGATCATGAATCAGTGTGACATAGAGCAGATCAGTTTGTGCATTTAAACTAACAATAATGTTATTTTCAACTGCATTCGCACTTAGTAACTCTGGTATTTGTAATGTATGACATCTTCCCATTTGTTTTGCCTGAAACTTTGAAGTCCAGTATTTGGAATCTAGAAAGGATACAGGTTTTGTGCTGCCAAGAAGAACATTCTGAACAGTTTCTGTATGATTATAGGTATATCTATCAAAGCAGAGGTCCAACTCTTCAATTGATGAACTATTACACACAACTGAGAATCCACCATTTAAACTGCCATCGGATAAGTTTTTGAAATTATTTTTGATGCAGAAGGTCAAAGCTGGGACAGATTGAAGTTTATTCTCAGATCTAGAAACAGTAACTGTGTCTCTGTTCAGATACTTGGTGACCATTGGAGGAGCCTAAATAATTGGAAATTAATGGGGTTCATAACGGGACCTCTTTTTCAGATTTCTTTTCTAATAGTTCTAATAAGTTTCACGTTGAGAAAAAAAATCCAATAAATATGTCATAGATCGATAAAAAATTTAATAATGTGTCAATTCAGCAATACGGCAGAAACGAACATTAATAGATATTTGATGAGACTGGAAAGTATCTAAAAGGAAGTGACTGGCTGAGAGGGGTGGTTGTGTAAATTATGCAATGCACAAAGCAGTGTTTCGGATCCGTATCATTTTGATCCGGATCCGCGGATCCGCATCCGTAATGATGGATCCGGATCCTGACTCTGATACGGATCCGGATCCGGGGTAACTTTTGATTCTGTGAATCGGATTTTCCCTATTAAATGTTATGCAAGGTTATAATTTATAAACTATATTTATTATATATTCCAAAATGTAACAAAAAAAATATAGACTTTTTGGAGTAATCCTTTGGACAGGCCGATCAATCACTTCTTGAAGAGATAGTCGCTGTTAGCCTTGAGCAGGAGAAGGGCGTCCAAATTTTCGTCATGTAAATAATACATTTACGAACCATTTTGATTTATTTATTCCATGGTTTTGGTTAATTTTTGGCGCTACCCGGATCCATATCAACGTTTCCTGATACGGATCCGGATCCAGATCCGACCAAATGATACGGATCCGACCGGATCCGGATCCGAAACACTGGCACAAAGGATTCTTTTTGATTTTAGCAATATGCTTTTACACTGTATAATTCCTGAGTTCAAAAAAGTTTGTCAATTTTTCACATTCAAAGAAAGTCTGTTTTTTAGAGCATATTGTTACAATTTACGAAGAGAATATATAAAAGAATACAACTGTGACCAAATGTCGTGCTTGGGAACAGACTTTAAAAAAATAAACTTTCATCACTAAAAATAAATTATCATATTTATTCATCTGTTTCTTTAACTTTTGATGCATTATGCTCTTATCAGAATCATTAAATTGACTTTAGTTGCATAATGCTCTTATTAGAATCATTAAATATTTGTAAAAATATGTCTTTTAGGGGGTGGAGGGTAACGGATTTTCTACAAAAAAAATATACCCCTGGCAGAGTCTTGTTCAGGAATTTTCTACGGGGGGAGCTTAATTTTTTTCCATGAAGGGTGGAAGCCTTTGGAGCTTAAACACCCTGGTAGCCATAGATTTCACTCCTCCAAAGAGGGGTGGGTCAAGCCCTATTAACCCCCACCCCCTGTATACGCCAATGACCCACATATTACCTGAAAATAAGAGAAGTAGCCAGATAGTAGAAGTATGATAATAAACTTTCCGGTTCGCAACAATGTTTCCATTCTCAAACTTTTTCATAACTGTTTTTATTCTTATTGAATTTTATTATATGTTTGCTCAGCTTTCTTTCTTGTGCATTTTCATAGTGTTGAAAAATACCTAATGTCGAATTATTTTCTTGAGAAAGTGAAATCATCAAAAAAGGAAAAAATCCAAATATGTAATTTCATCTGTAACTAATTTGAGACCCAAGATACCGGCTTCTTATCATATTAGCTATAATTTAAGTAAATTAAAATATAAAAACAATTGTGAAAAAAATTTTGAATTTGAAAAATTAATAATAACCAAAATACCGTAGTGGGCATTAGAATGTGCTCTGTGTAGAGAATCAATAAACACATTTTAATCATCGTGTTTGCTTACACCCAAAGTAAACTAATTTCTTTGCAAGGTAATATCTACTAAACTANTTTATTTATTTATTTTAATTTGTTACTAAAACCGCTAGAATAAAAAAAGTAAAAAAAGTATAAAAGCTAAAATCTTAAATCTTGAGTCCTTGATGTGAGGAATTTGCGAAAATGAAAAATGGTTTTCTTTTATATCATATTTATATTTATATGGTTGATGAGTTGATTGGTTTGGTTGAATAGCTCAAGATCATGCCGTGTTTGGCATTGATAGTTTACAAGCTTGTGTCTGTGTTTGACATTGATAGTAAAGAGTTGTTTAGCTGATTAGCTCTTATGCCTCTTAGACCAACGAGAGTTGTACCTGGATTGATACGGGTCTGAGAGACTCCTTTAGTGTAGGGCATTTACTACAGGCTGACTGATTGGCTGACTCATTGAATGATTGATTGACTGACTCATTGATTGATTGTCTAGGTACTGGAGAGGAGGTGTATTACAGTGACAGTGATGAGGAAGATAATGATTCTCTTTCACAATCTGCACCTGATCCTGAGTATGAAATTATAGATTCAAATCAGAATGATTTTAAGAAAGAAAAAAGTTATTTATTCCTGGGCATTCTAGGTTTGGGGCCTTTTTGTGTTACCCATAAAACTTTGGATTCTTAAGACATTTAATTTAAAAATTATTTATATTTGATGTTGTTATAATGGCAATAATTTTACAATTAGCTTAAAATCGACTTGTAACGCAAAAGGTGTCTGTGTTCACTGCCCAATTACTGTGTTTTATGTTCATGAGACTAAGATCATAACTTGAGTCTAAAATTCCACTGTTTTCAGGGGTTAATGTTGTGTTTTTCAAAATGTGCTCAATATAAGAAAAAAATTAAATGGTTGCCGTTAAAATTAGAATAAAAAATGGTCTTTGTATATATATTAATATACAATAAAGAGGACTTTTTATTTTTATTTTTTTTTATTTATTCCAAGCTTTCAAACATGATGGATACACTTATACATGAAGTTGTCAATTACTTGTCAAGTTGTAATTGGAAAAATCTTGTTAGAAATCAAAACTTAATTGTAAAAGTCGTCTTTATTGTATTGATATGAACGCCGACCAAATTTAAATATGTTGCCGATAAAAATTTGACACTAAGGGGACATTTTGAATTCCTAAATACATCATTTCTCTGTGTATTGTGGAAATGATTTTTTCAGAGGAGTTATGTCTCTAAACTGCTTAATCATTAAATATGCATTTTTAATTATTCTTAAACCAACTAATTCTAAATTACTTAAATTACTTAAAAGACTTGTGGATTTAATAACTTATTTTTGTTTAGGAATGGAGTCAATAATGATCACGTAGAGGGTGTTAAGGAATGTGTACATTTGTTTAAGACTGCTTTTATGACCTTATTTATAATGTATTTGTGTGTGCAGACAATGGTTGTGAATACACAGAAAGCCAACGTATCCAAAATTCGCCAGCTTGTAGACCGTAACCTAAGGTATTACAAGTTTTTCTAATTCTAAAGAAGCTTACTTTCTTATATGGCACATGTAATAAAAAGATTGTGTAACCTTGTGTAAAAATTCTTCCATTATTTTTGATTTTACAGTTTTCCTGTCCTATTCTGGAAAATGGCTGAAAAACCTCGCATTTTAAACATGAATATAAAGCTTAAAGATTAGTGACGTAGTCCGTTCATTATCTAGTAACAAGTCAAGTTTAAAATTATTAACCAAAATGTGACAAGGTTGTGATAAATCTAAAATGAGGTTAAAATTTGTTGGACTGTACAAGCTTTTTTGTCTCAAAGGAACTAAAAGCGTAATTTCTAGTGACCTTCCATGCAAAGATGGTTTTGCCCAATTCACAATGGTACCCCTAAAGGCTTTGCCTGATCAAGTTTAAGTTAGATATCCATGTAAACTGATTATATTCAATTGAGGATTTTTACGTAGTGACTTGGGCATTTCTACTGCAGGAAAACATATAGAAAATATCAGAATTAAACACGTTAAAAACTTTCAAGACAGCACTATTACATACATTATTGATAAAATGAAGGTTTCAAGGGTACCGTTGTTAATCGGGAATTGCCATCTTTGCCTGGAGGGTCACTTGAAATTACACTTACGGCCTCTTTAAAGGGACTGTAAAGGAAAAATTAAAGGGGTATAGGCTGAAAGATAATCACTTTAGCACTTAATCGCGACCCATGAAAGTTCTATCTGATGTTCCTGTCTCGAGAAATGGATATAAAACTGCGTCAAATTTAAACGAAAATTCATAATATACAATTTTGTATAGAAACTGTAGGGTTAAACAGATCATAGTCAGCAAATACGCAACCAATCTGAATACGAAGATATTCCAGAGGAAGCTATTTTGTAACTTAGGTTTTCTCTAATTATTATTTTATAATTTAATTTTTAATAGATATAATTGATGATATTATTTATGAGTCCGTATTACGTCACAAGAACTCCTACCAATGTGAGTGCATTATACTCGTCACATGATAAAGACGTCGTTTTGTTTAAACTATGTAGTATGCAGTTTATAAGAGTAAGAGTGTTTTTTCTGGGTACTTTTAGATATATTTTAGTAAAATCAAGAGCTCTCTTGACCTCCGCGCTAAACGAGAGAAAACAGTTGGTGAATCGATTAAAGCTTTGGATGATTTCAAGACAAGACTTCAAGAGGAGCAAAAGGTGACCTTTTTTATAAAAATACTTTAACTTTTGTTCCCGTCATACATAAAATAAGAAAAAATTTGGATTTTACTGGGGGTTTCAATACAAAAAAATTGGTTTGGACCTTATTTAATCTTGACCGCCCAACCACCTTTTCTTTGGTCACATGAGGCCTGAGTCAGACGTAAAATGTAGCCTCAATTGGTTCAGCCGTTTTGACGTGTATTTGATGCAAACAAATAAACAGACATTGACCTTGAAAATTTTCTGCAAATAGATTGCTTGAGAAAGAAAATAAATTAGTTTATTTAAGGCTCTTGTAATAGAAAGCAAGCAGCTAAACAGTTTTCAGGAGAAACTGAATAATATCGTTAACCAACTAAATACAAGTAAGTCAGGAGAATATATTTTCTTATTTTCTTCACCCCCCAACTCTCCATTTAAAATCTTTCTTAGTTTATTAGAATTGATTATACAGTGAAAACCAGAAAACTCTGAAATAGGAAGACGACTTTTAAACTCAAGTTATGACTTTAACTAGTTCAATGAATATTAGACATAGTAAATGTAAAGTTTAAATAGACCCTTTTCACTAAAATTGTTACTAGTAAAAATATTTACTTTGTAACAACATTAAAATGTCACCTTTCTATTCCGTTGTTTTCTGGTAATCACTGTATATTATTGTTTTTTCACTGTCTGGGGAAAAGATTAGTTTAGAGTATCGAGTATAGAGCTAGTTGATGTCCAACTTTTCAGTTTTTTGCCCAAATCTACGAAATTACCCTCCCCCTACTAATCCACTCATTTACAACCTTTATTTTTTTTAATTTTTAAGAAGTGTTCACTGTTTTTCTATCTTGAAATATGACCAAAACTAAATATATTGTATTAAAAAATTGATAACTTGCTCATTGTGTGTCAGGTAAAGGGTTAATAGGTGCCGTTGTGAATCGGACATTCACTTTTTAAATAATGGATCACACTCAGTCGACTGTCCATTTAACTAAAAAAAAAAACAATTATTTAGTAAATCTAATGGACTACACTGCACTAAAGAAGATGAATGAAGATTGTTTATTTATCAGCACTAAACTTAATCAGGAGATTGAAAAGGTAAACAAACATTATCCGGATCCATTGGATTTATAATGGATAAAATCCCCGGATTAGTAAAACTATGCAATTCCGCGGAATTCCAGGTGACAAAGCAAATACCGAAAAATTGAAAAATAAAACATATTTATCTTAAAGCAAACAATTTTTGTGTCAACTAATACCATTGAAACCTCATTGAATATTAATTCAGGTTTCCACATTTTGGACTTTTTTTGGCAAGAGAAATTGACAAACTTCATTTTCGTGTACACTGTACTTTATCCGGATTCATATTCGTGTACACTGTACTAGATCCGGATTCATTTATGTGTACACTGGACTTGGTCCGGATTCATATTTGTGTACACTGTACTGGATCCGGATTCATATTTGTGTACACTGTACTAGATTCGGATTCATATTCGTGGACACTGGCTGGGTCCGGATTCATATTCGTGTACACTGTACTGGATCCGGATTCATATTCGTGTACACTGTACTAGATTCGGATTCATATTCGTGGACACTGGACTGGGTACGGATTCATATTCGTGTACACTGTACTGGATCCGGATTCATATTACTAGATCCGGATTCATATTCGTGTACACTGTACTAGATCCGGATTCATATTCGTTTACAGTGTACTGGATCCGGATTCATATTCGTGTACACTGTACTAGATCCGGATTCATATTCGTGTACACTGTACTGGATCCGGATTCATATTCGTGTACACTGTACTAGATCCGGATTCATATTCGTGTACACTGTACTGGATCCCGATTCATATTCGTTTACACTGTACTAGATCCGGATTCATACTCGTGTACACTGTACTAGATTCGGATTCATATTCGTGTACACTGTACTGGATCCGGATTCATATTCGTGTACACTGTACTGGATCCGGATTTTAGTTTTGCAACAAATCCAGGATCCGCATCAAAATTAAATAAATGGATCACAAAAACTGCTTTTAAGCTTTGACTCAAAAAAAAAAATTTTTGATGGGGGGCGAACCTTTGTTTATTCATTTGAAGTAATGTTTAAAGAACCCTGTTCATTAAGATAAAGTAAAGTTAAACAAACCAAAATTACTAATTAGAATACCTTAGGCAATCATGTTCTTGATACAAAAAACATTGATTTTTCACTATTTTCCACACAAAAAAATTTAACATTAAGCTTCAAGACAATTCGGAAAAATATAAGCCTCGTGATTATCTTTAACAAAATCGAAGTGTAATAATCCAAATAATTTGCTCCACCCCCCCCCCTTTCACACCCCTCACTGTTGTCAGTGATTTTTTTTGTTTTATTTTATTATATTATAAAGATTTATTCACACACAAAGATATAAATACATATATAAATGGTGTAGTTTAAATTTGTTTAAATAAATTTTTTTTGAAAATACAGGTTTCCAAAAGAAGAGAGAAAAAATATGCAAAATTATGCACAAATAGAAAACATTGATTTTTACTCACTACATAACATATTTATCATTTCAGTTATTGCGTAATCATCGAATCCTTCAACATATAAATTATTTTCAAAAGTTCTTGTAAAACCGGAACTTACCATTCATATTCCAATGGGACATCAAAATATTTCATTTGTTTCTTAACTAAGATTTTACTAAGATCCGAAGGATTTACAGAACAATCATTTGCAATAGGAAATAAATTTCTGCCAAGAACTGTGTTGAGGTCATTTTTACATAAATTAGAAAGAAATCTAATGCAAAGCTTTTTGTATTTTTCATAATATCTCTTTCTTAGTCTTTTTTCTAATTTTTTTCTCCATAATTTTATTTTAACATTTTATCCCACTTCTTTCATTCAACCGATATTGTCCTTCCCTCCCATTTTAAAGTTTTTTATATCTTTTGATTTCAGGTTGAAAACCAGGAGTTAGAGACTGGTGTAAGAAACAGCACAGTTAAAATCAATTTTGAGAGAACTGATAATCTTCTTAACAATCTTAAGGAAATCATGCATTTATCTTGATTCTTGGTCTAAACCATCAGGGTTTTTCATTTTTACAAGTTTATACTTTTTATCTAAAATGTTTTGAACTTCGCCTTAAAATCAAATATTTTTCCTAATTCAGCGAATAGACCACATAATGCCTAATATCCACAGAAAATGATTTTCAAAAAGGGAGGCGGGGCAGGGGGGAGAGAGAGATATGTTTTGAACAGTAATTGTAAAAAGTAGGGTACCATACCTTTCCACTCGAATTCAGAACGAAAAATCGGCTTTTTCTCCGGCCACAGTTGGCTTTGAAAAGTAAGACTAATACTAATCAACAGCGAATAGGCTGTTTAGTTTACCCAAATAAGTGAACGGTCTCTTTAAAACTCGGTATTTTTAAAGAACAGATAATAATGATCCCCAAATCTAGTCAACACAAGTGGTCATGTAATTATAAGCCTTGCCAGGGAAAAGTGGGATATCATGGCTTTCAGATCTTTAAAAGCCTATTATGTTTGATTATCGATACAACGCCCCTGTTTTTTTTTTGTTATTGGAAAGCAGTGCTTAGGATCCGGATCCGGATCCGCTGGATCCGCATTATTTTGGCTCTCTGGATCCGGATCCGGATCCGCAAAAAAATGCGGATCCACGGATCCGGATCCAAGCACAATTTTATTTTTCAAAATGTTGCAAAACACCGTTAATTTTCCTTAAAAATATCATATTTTGAATTGTTTAACAGATTTTAAAAATATTCTCTGGGTCTCAGGTTTCTATCTTGCTCAAATCTTAACTCAGACCTCCACCGTGCACCCCTCCCCCACCCCCTTTAATAACTAGAGAGGGAGGGGGGGGAGAGAAGTCTCCCTTTTCCCCATTGCAACTAAGCAAATTTAGTCTTCACAAATTAAGGTGTAAGGATGTGTAAGAGTGAGGGGGAAAAGGGAGGGGGCGCACATATGCTAAAAAGATACAGATGCTAAGGAACATCTTGTGTTCCCAGTATAAAGAGACTGTTCTCTGCCCTGAAGATATTCAAATCAGACCTAAGGAGTTGCCTGAAGGCAGATATTCCAAACGCGGAGGTTCTACTAAAAGCTAATATGAATTAGACCTGTTTTTTTTTTCATCCAATAAAGTAAAAAAATCATTATCATTTTGTGCAAACTAGTAGAAAAATAGTGTAAAAAAATGTTAAAATGTTTAATATTTTTTTTAGGTATGAAAAGATATTTGAACTAAAATAAAATTTTTCTTGATTAATGACCTGGATCCGGATCCGAATCCGGATCCATTTTTTTGAAAAGCGGATCCAGGATCCGGATCCGCATCAAAATTAAATGGATCCTAAGCACTGTTGGAAAGTTCAGATTTTACAACTTTGAAAACAATTTGTAGATTATTTTAGAACGCAATTTCACATGAAGCTAAAACAGCATGTACGTAGTTCGAAAATATGTATGGTTATGGATTAGGCTGAGAATGATACGATATATATGAAGTTAGGCAGCAGTCTAGAGGTAAGTTTAGTTAAAACTGTCAGATGAGTTGGAATTTACCATTGTTCATCGGTTCTATATACTTGGCTGTTGGCTGGCTGACCTTTGTTTGACCTTGACATGTAAACTCTAGAATGAGCTTCACTAACACTAAGTTAATCACAGCACCTGAAACCTGCGTGACCTCTGTTCTTTATTTAAACAAAAGCACAACCTTTACGTACATGTTGACCCTCAGCGTGGCCTCTAATTTACAGGTTAAATCAAGCTGAACAATAAACCGCTGACAACGTGGTTGATCTCAGTCTGACCTGTAAGCCAGTTTAAACTTTGTATGACGTGTTGACCCAGCTTAACCTCTAAACGAGAGGCTGGCCCTTAACTGAAATTTTTATTTGACATGGGATTGCATAAAGATGGACCCAACCATGACCTCGTTACTTAAAATTGGCTTTTTTAACCCTTCAGATTGACCTTGGTTTGACCTTTTAAACACAGGTCGACCTTCTTAGCTTGACGGCCTTGTACCACAGATTGAGCATAGATTGACCTCGACACTACAGATTGATCATAGTTTGAACCTTGCACTGATTTAAGCCTTTTACCTTCAGGTTAACCCCAGTTTGCTATACTTGACCTATATAATATATACTTCAGGTTGACTCCAGCTTGATATACTTGGCCTGTATACTTTAGGTAGACCCCAGCTTAATATTCTTGACTTTTATATACTTCAGGTTGACCCCAGCTTGGTGTACTTGACCTATATATACTTCATGTTGGCCCCAGCTTGTTATGCATGACCTATATTTACTTCAGGTTGACCCCAGCTTGGTATACTTGACGACTTATATGCTTGGAAAGATATTTACTGATAAAATAGCTTCTCACAACGCCTGCTATAAAGAGCTCGTCAAGAACTCCTATATTGAGGTAAGTTTATAAAGCAAAACAAAACTATATTTTGGAATATTATTGGGATGGTCGCGTCGTCGTAGTTTTAAGTGACCCTCCACTTATTCGTGAAAATTAAACATGATAATAATGTGGAAGATATCGTCTATTTTCTGACTTGAAAAGTGTTAAAGAACAGAATTTATAAATTGTCTCTAAAAGCAAGAAATGCGCAAGTAAGTTTTGCAGAGAAACTGCAATTGACAATAAACAGTTTTCAAAAAGAAAAACATGGACATTCATTTTTATCAGACAAAGCTTAAAATGGTAATGTTGTAATCAAACATGTCACTAATAATGGAATGTCGCTTGAAATTACAGTCCTTCTAGAGGTTTTTGGCAGTGGATTGGAGAAAATAATTTATTTTTCCGAATATATGATGAAAACCAGATAAAGAAGGGAAAGCATTTTGTTTAATTATAAATTTTAGATTTAAAAATTCTAGGTTCCATTTTAAAACATCCGAAATCGATATTTAGATTGTATAATGTAGATATTTAGATTAAATTCCCAGAAGTATATGCAAAACAATGATCGATTCATAAAGAAGATTTTGAATATTTGTTTTAGGACGGAATAATTGGACCGCAACCGTTAGATGATCCCAGCGAGTATATTGATTATATTAAATCATTTCAAGGATTAACTCTAGGCATAGTTCAAATAAAACAAGATGCTACCAAGATGGTTGGGGAAGGGGGGGGGGTGAGTTCACAAGTGAATATTTTAGGGATATTTTAGGGTTAGGTGACTCGTTTTTGTCACAATCTTCCTTTTAAAATGGATATGCTTTGTGTTTCATAATGAGAAAATGGACAATTTAATTGTATTCTGATATCTTATTATTTACATTTAGCTACGCTCGGTTTGATCAACAACTAGTTTAAATAACTACTTTATTAACTTGACTAAAAAACTATATAAATTTACTTTGGAAAATCATATTATAGGAGCGTAAGACTCGGGGTCACCAAATTTAGCTACGCTCAGTTTGATCAACAACTAGTTTAAATAACTACTTTATTAACTTGACTAAAAAACGATATAAATTTACTTTGGAAAATCATATATCTTAAATCAGGTGACGTGGCAGGAAATCCTAGAGCAGCTTGCCGCGTTCTAATATCCGGCTTCAGGTTGAATCGTCTTCCGCCACATACAAACATTTTATCAATTGTAGCTTGCATTGATTTATAATAATTTCAATTAATAATTACTTTTCCCGTTCATATATTTATCCATGAATGGATCCTGTAACCCCGCAATATTGCGTACATTCAAGGTATCATAGTGTACATAGGTTACACAGGAGATGTAAAAAATATATATACTTTATATCTTTTTTTACATGAAATTACAATGGATTTATGATAATCTAGATATATAAATAGATGCTATCGACCATTTATCAAAGATATGGGGGCGCTACAAGGGTTCCCATGCACTTATTTCATCTCTAATTCGTGTATAAAATATCTATTTTAAAAGTTTTCACTGAAATGACCGGTTTTCCGTTGAATTCTAAAACTTTAAAACAAATTCGACTTAGACATTTCTCTAATAAATATATTACAAAGCCCTGACTTAAATATATGAGGTTTTTTGTGTAAACTCATTATTGCTGACACCCCCCCCCCCTTGATCCCCCATTGTGTGTGTGGGGGGGGGGGTCGAAATTATGATCACTTTAACTCACTATAACTTCACTTTAACTCACTATAACTTTGCTTTCCAATCTTCAATTTAAGCAGTCCTTCTATTCTAGATTTTAAGACTGCATTTGACAACCTGATACTTCTAACGTCTGAATAATTTAAAATGAAAAGTTGTGGTGATATTTTCGCACTTAAATTCGCCCTTTGCAAAGAATTTTGAGAGAGCATCTGTACAATGAGAACTTACATTGGGAACTCAAAAAAAGTGTAACATATATACATATATATACATAGTATATAGACACTAAACAGTGCTTAGGATCTGAATCTAATGGATCCGCAACATTTTGGCTTCCTGGATCCGGAAAAAAAAATTCGCTTTACTTTTTACAAATGATCGATAAAAAAACTGCATAATCTCTGAATGGTTCATCAAGTTCCAGCATAAAATAGAAGGAAAGCTTAACAAATGTTGGCCAATTTGTTGAAACTTGTAATATTTGAATTATCTGGTTGACCAGGAACAGATACGAGTAGGTCTAGTTCTCCACCAGACAAGGAAGAGAAGGAATGGAAGGTAATAAAGTTAAACTTCAATAATTCCCCCACCCGCGCCTTTAAATTTTTTCTTTAATCGAAATGAAATGTTTATCGCAGAATTAGAAAAGATAACAATTTGAGGAAAGTATATGATTTTTTTAATTATCAAAAATTTACATTTTCTAATCACATTTTGTAAACTGTGCTCCGAGGGTCCTTCAGTATATTGGGCCGGATCCACAGATCCGATCCAAGTGGAAAATTATCTACTAAAACATTAAAAGAATTCTATCAAACACATTTTAAGTGTGTACTTCAGCAAAGAAGAAGAAAATTTTGGGAAATTGTTTATGGAGAAAGAAATAATAAAAGAAATATTCAGGATTGTTTTGTATTAAAATTTTATTAATCCCACTGTTAGAAAATAAATTATTTTTCTGAATTCCTTGTTATTATTGTTGTTTAGGTTGTTGGTAAGGATAAAGAGAAAGAGAAAACAATGAAGCGAACACCAATTTCATTTTCTGACATGGCAAAGAAGCCTGGCAACCCACAACCTATTGTTAAAAGGAAATCAATTTTTCATTCAAAAAATATGTTTTTGTCCCCAGGACACACCAGTCTGGATTCCAATTCAATACTGGCTGCGGACAAGTGTGCTTAACTTCAGTTATCTGACGAGAACTGGTGTTTCACACTGGCCACCTCACCCCACTTACATTAAAAATATTTAATTAAACTTTTTTTTGTCAAATGGACTGTTTTCATTTGTTCAAGTCATCCTTCATTAATAAAGTGGTGTGTCCGATTTACAACGCTACCCTTAAACCTTTGTCTGATCAAGGATAAATGAGATATCCATGGTTTTCTATCTAAAAATGAATTATTATTTTAAATCAATTCTTCACTCAGCAAACACCAGAATTTTAAACTTTCAAGATAGAATAACGACGATATCTTCCCCATAGCTATTTATCTAATGATTTGCAGGGTATCTTAAGAATCAGAAATGCCACTTTGAAAACGGTGGGTCATCTGAAATTATGTCTAAAGTCTCCATATTTATTTATTGGGATAGAGTGAAAAATATTTTGATAAACAGGATTCCCTTTCCCGAGAAGACTATTGCTCAAACTAATCGACCACATTGCTATTTTAAGGTATAATAGCATTATTTTGTGGAAGAGGAAGACGACATTACAGCAATATTTAAATTATATTTGATGTTATTAAGAAGTAAATAGTTTTAATAGTGTATTGAAAATTAATTCTGAAGTGAAATGATCTGAACATACTTCACAATTGTTGTGTCTCATGTTTATTGGACTAATTAAAAACATAAATAGGCTAAAGGTCGTCTTCATTATTTCTCAACCCCATCTACATTTGGGAGGTTTACGAATAAGAAAGGATAATAATCGAATGAAAAAAAGAATCACTGCTTAACAAAATCTCTTTAATGAATTATTACTTTTTGTTAATAACAAGAAATGTGTAGTTTGAAAGTGCCAAACATGTAATATTCTTTAAACTAGAGTTTACTCATAAATGGGGGGGGGGGGGTTAATCTGTGCAAAGAAGGATTGAAGTTAAACCTGAATTATCCTTGTCTTGATGTTGATAGATAACTGAAGGGTTAAAAGCCCGACTTTACAGATTAAATCAAGAACCGGGTTTATCTTCTCAATTTAAGTTTTAGAATTTAGATACGTATCACAGAGTAGGGAAATGTTGAAGGGGCTGGGCACCATTTTAGATTGTATTTAAAGTCATAAAAATTGCAATGTCGTCTTTCTTTTTCATTAGGGAAAATTATTTAGAAGAACCGCTTAAAACATTAATTTGTCATTCTAATGATTACATCTTAAAATTATATAAAATTTATCTAAATGCCAGTCCCCTAAATAATGTCTTTTCTAAGCTTTCAAAATTACCGGAGTTAAGATTTAAATTTATTAAATCAAACTAAAATAGTTTAATCCAAAACGAAATCAGAAATATCTCGATTCTGGGTCGGGTCATTTTGAAGGCACAAAAAAGGCAGTCAGCATTTTAGAAATGTCATGACTTAGGATAAAGAGTGAAATGTTTCTTTTTTCTGCCATTTTCTTTGCCGCATAATTAAATCTTTGTCTGCGCAGATTCAAGTTGATAATGAGACACCGTTCCGGGTCGTCTTCGAGATGCGCCCAGATATGGCGCCAAAGATGGTGGATAACTTTATCCGTCTTTGCAAAGGTTTGCCGGACGGTAGAGGATATAAGGTTAGTATATTATTATGACGGGATATTAATTTTATCATTCCGCATTCATCCTCCTATTTTTGTTTCCCTGAGTTAGTTTTACTGTTCATTTTTTATTTTTTTGTGTTTTCTATCATGTACAACAGAATTTGTCCTTACTCATTTTTTTACGAGCTTTTTCCCCCAATAACTTGTATTCATCATTTATATTATTATTTTTAAGTTAATTGAAATGTAAGTTTTGTTTAAAATGGGTGTGGAGTGGAGTGTGGAGTGTGGAGTGTGAACGTATATTCGAAGTTTCTCCGTATTTAATGAGATGAGTGCCCGATTCATAACTTTTAAGCCATTATCTGAGCAACAATTGAAAACTTTTAACCGGTTTTTAATCTGGGAAAATTATTAATTCTGACAATGGTATCTGAAGCAGAAATGCTCAAGTTACTAAAATTATTAAGAGAAGCCACAATTCAAAATAATAAATTTTCAAAAAGAAAATTATTGATATTGACATTCGACAAAGCTTTTCAGGGTAACGGTTTGAATCAGACATGTCAATCAATAAATGGAGTCGATTAAAAATAACATCCAATTGTCGCCACAATGATTATAAATTTTATCGGCTTTTTACCAACATTACAGACCCATGATTCCTTCAACAGAGGGACGGTAAGTTACTTAACGTCCCTTGGGACATTAAGTAAAATAACCACCCGCTCTGTGAAGTTTTCGTGAAAAAATGTTCATCTCAAAAGACGATAAAATTGTGTACAACTACTTTTTCGGGAAATTAAACATTCTATATTACCGCGGGTTCCCTCGGGAAACCTTCGTAAAGTAGAATTCCCTTAGCTTCCCTGTAGAGAAGATGTAAATAATTATTATTAATTTTATTTTCTCATTTTCTTCGTACTTCAGGGAAGTAAAATATTCCGTGCTAAAGCTAACGACCATATCCTTGGTGGAGATTTCGAGAATGATGATGGAACAGGAGGACATTCTGCTTATGAAGATAAATATTTCATGGCTGAACAATGTCCGCTTAAGGTAACTTTTACACTTTTAACTCAACTCACCATCATTTGGAGGAATAACTCTCGAGCTGTATATGCGACATAACATTTTATATTTTAATATTTATTTTAAAGTTCTAGTCAATTAAGGATTAATTTAAAGAACCTAATATTTTACAGTTACTCTTTTTTTGTTGACAACGAGTAGTACCCACAAAATGGTAACATGGCTCAAATTTGATCGTGATGCTGTAATCTTTATAACCAGAATATTATTTTCCCAATCCCACAGTAAAAAAATTACGAACTGCGGAATATTTCAGTATTAATCTAACAAAACAGTAAAAAGTAATAAACTCCAGCTAAAACCCCGATTTACTCCGTCTAATAAGATCTACTATCAACTGTTTTTAGTTTTAGTGAGTTTACAGCACTAAAACTGACACATTTATTCTTTTCTCACGAGTTTTCATTCCCATGTGTAAGTGATCTGAAGTTTTTCGGTATTTAACAGTGGTCTCCTTTTTGAGAATATAATTATCTACCTATTAATTTGAGTAGCCCCACTCCCAATCAGAAATATGTATCCAAGTGAGAAAATAGAAGTAGTCTGGAATTCATTGAATTTTAAATATAAAAAAATTGCTGTATTCCCCCTAAAAAGAAGGGAGGTAATATTATTTTATTAGAAGAGTATTTATATATGATTATTGCCTATTTTCACAACAATATTATTTCTCATAACTATAAAGTTCACCTATTGCTTAAATAGACTTATTATTATGAATTAGTATGCTTTTAGTATATTTAAGTAGGTTTTAACTACTTTTAAATTATAAAACCAAAAAAGCCCCAAAAAAACAATAAAACCCACAAGGCTGTTTTTTTTTTTACTTTTTTCAACCCCAGATTTTTTCCAATCCTGTTTAATTTCAATTGATTTGTTCATTTTCAGTAGAAAAATGTATTTAATATGTTTAAAAAATCATTTTGTTTAAAGGATCACAAGGGCGCTATAAGAATGAAGGGATTGGAGAGAACTGTGGATGGTCGGTGCAGGATTGGTTCCCAGTTTATGATCTGGGTCGGAGATTTGGAATATAAGGTACTTTATTCAAGCTAGGGAGGGGGTGCAGGGACTTCATGAGCCCTGAAAAAAGGTCTCCAAGTCTCTGAATTCTCAGATGCGTATTTTAAATAAATGTAAATTTTAGAATAGATATAAAAGAAGTAATGTATAACAAAATTTTGTAAACATATACAATATTTTTATAGTTATGCAATGTTTTTTATTGGATATTCAAGAAAAAACTGCATAAATATTTAAAGATTCAATATTTTCCTTTAAAAACTTTATTTATTACTTCTATAATATCTATTCAAATGTTTAGGATAGCGCCAGGTCTTAACATACTCATTTGCGAATACGGTGGCTTGGAGACCATTTTCCGGGACACCTGGCGACCCTGCACCCGGCCCCTTCCTCTTTATGCTTCACGCCCGTCTTTACATATATTTACCTTGATCCAGTACTAAACAATTAAAGAATTCTTGGACTTTTCTGCTTTCATTGGTAGATTTTTATGTTTAGGAGTACAGGTTTAACCTTGTTTATGTTTAGGAGTACAGGTTTACCCTGGTTTATGTTTAGGAGTACAGGTTTACCCTGGTTTATGTTTAGGAGTTCAGGTTTACCCTGGTTTATGTTTAGGAGTACAGGTTTACCCTGGTTTATGTTTAGGAGTACAAGTTTACCCTGGTTTATGTTTAGGAGTACAGGTTTACCCTGGTTTATGTTTAGGAGTACAGGTTTACCCTGGTTTACCCTGGTTTATATTTAGGATTACAGGTTTACCCTGGTTTATATTTATGAGTACAGGTTTACCCTGGTTTATGTTTAGGAGTTCAGGTTTACCCTGGTTTATGTTAAGGAGTACAGGTTTACCCTGGTTTATGTTTAGGAGTTCAGGTTTACCCTGGTTTATGTTTAGGAGCACAGGTTTACCTAGGTTTATATATAGCGGAGTACAGGTTTACCCTGGTTTACCCTGGTTTATATTTAGGATTACAGGTTTACCCTGGTTTATGTTTATGAGTACAGGTTTACCCTGGTTTATGTTTAGGATCACAGGTTTACCTAGGTTTATATATAGCGGAGTACAGGTTTAACCTGGTTTATGTTAAGGAGTACAGGTTTACCCTGGTTTATGTTTAGGAGTTCAGGTTTACCCTGGTTTATGTTTAGGAGTACAGGTTTACCCTGGTTTATGTTAGGAGTACAGGTTTACCCAGGTTTATATTAAGGAGTACAGGTTTACCCTGGTTTATGTTTAGGAGTACAGGTTCACCCAGTTTTATATTAAGGAGTATAGGTTTAACCTGGTTTATGTTAAGGAGCACAGGTTTACCCTGGTTTATGTTTAGGAGTACAGGTTTACCCTGGTTTATGTTTTAGGAGTACAGGTTTACCCTGGTTTATGTTAAGGAGTACAGGTTTAACCTGGTTTATGTTTAGGAGTACAGGTTTACCCTGGTTTTTGGTAAAGTTGTGGAGGGATTTGATCAACTTCAAGAAGTTTCTAGAATTAAGGTAAGTTCATAAAGTCTTGAATACTGACCTCCATCTTGAATACTGACCACTATCTTGAATACTGACCTCCATCTTGAATACTGACCTACATCTTGAATACTGACCTCCATCTTGAATACTGACCTCCATCTTGAATACTGACCTCCATCTTGAATACTGACCTCCATCTTGAATACAAACCTCCATCTCAATACAAACCTCCATATTAAATACAAACTTCCATCTTGAAAACAAACCTCCATCTTGAAAACAAACCTCCATCTTGAATACAAACCTCCATCTTGAATACTGACCTCTTTCTTGAATACTGACCTCTTTCTTGAATACAGACCTCCATCTTGAATACAAACCACCATCTTGCATACAAACCTCCATTAAAATACAAACCTATATCTTGAAAACAAACCTCCATCTTCAAAACAAACCTCCATCTTGAATACTAACCTTCCTCTTGAATACTGACCTCTTTCTTGAATACTGATCTGTTTCTTGAATACTGACCTCTTTCTTGAATACTGACCTCTCTCTTGAATACAGACCTCCATCTTGAATACAAACCTCCATCTTGAATACAAACCTCCATCAAAGATACAACCCTCCATCTTGAATACAAACCTCCATCTAAGATACAAACCTCCATCTTAAATACAAACCTCCATCTTGAATACAAACCTCCATCTTGAATACAAACCTCCATCTTGAATACAAACTTTTATCTTAAATACAGGCTTCTATCTTGAATAGAGACCTCCATTTTGAATACTGACCTCCCATCTTGAATACTGACCTCAATTTTGAATACGCACTTCTATCTTTAAAATTTGGTCAATAGTTTGACCTCCATCCTATTAGTTGACCTCCATCGGCTATTGACCTTTATTTCATACATTTAGGCTGTCCAGAAGTCTCCTACATCATGGGTTCTTAGACAAACAGTTAATATTATTGAAAGTGGAGTCCTCTAAATCTGGGAGATTTTCAGGTTTAGAAATCCTCTAAACCTGGAACCCATAAATCCTCTAAAATCAGTTGTCTGAACCAGCTGATCCTTGAATGTTCTAGAAGAGAGGAAAGAGAGAGGCCTTGTCTAATGTAATATTTTTAATATCATTAGCCGCTGATTTCAAGAGTTATTTTTATGTCTATTTTCATATTAAGGCATGGTTTGTTTTTAGCAATTAAATATATGCAATTGTAGATTGATATTTAGGACGGAAAAATGTTTAACATTTTGCATAATATGTAAAAATGCATAATTTAATAAATCATTCCCTAAAATCCTCCGTAATGATAATAAATGATAAAGCCGTTTAAAAAATGATTATATTTTATTTTTATTTCTACAATTATTTTTGAATGAACAAACCCCGATGAAATTATTTTGAATACCCATTATATGCAAAAAAAAAAATAAAGCATTTAGATAAATGTGTCAAATTTTTTATTTTTATACATTTTTTTTCGTACTGTTAATTGTAAACTCTTTAATCTTTGTGAATGATTTAAACCTTTAATGCAAAATGTTAAAGGATTTAATTATAATATTTTATTAAAGTTAATTACTGTATTTGATAATTTGATAAGATAATAAAACTATTTTAGTTTAAAAAAATGATTTCATTATTTTCATATTATTTTCGCAATTCTCGTGAACAATAAAAATCATGAATCTGAATTGTTTTTCTTACTTCCATTTAACGTCTGAACTTGTCAATACTTCTACATGATCTAATACAAAGTTTTCTTTGACCAATTAATGGTCATAATTCTGCATTTTATTCAGCGATTTCCCGCGTGTGTTAAAGATTTCATGCAATTTGTTCTCGTGGGTGGGCCATTGATAAAATGATGCAATGGAGTTTTTAAAATGAATTTTTAACCGATATTTAGAAGTGAAGTATGAGAATCACTGTGTATACTCTAGCTTGAAACCCCATTTTTGCATGGAAGCTAAGTTATCACTGTAAAAGTCAACCTACTTAGTTAGAACATTTAAACCAAACTAAGAAAATTCTTGTGGTTCTACCGAGTTTTCTAGTCAAAATTTAAGGTCAAAGGGTTTATGAGTTATACTCGAATATACAAACAAAACGAGAACACTGCTCTTTATAAACATAAATACATGGCTAGAAATTGAATAAGACTATAAAGACGACCTTACAATTTTTGGCATCAAACACAGTCCTGCTATGCAATATTACAGATTTTAATTTATCTCTACATAAAAATCCCTCTGATCTCACCCTGCCACAGATCACCTGACAATCTCCTTCCTTCCAATCAACTCCTTACCTATAATCCAAAAACATATCTTGATATGTGTAACCAACTATATTCAGTATCGTTAGTTAACTTCGGGCCAACCACTCAAAACAACCAGGCGGGTCCAAACTGCATGTAAATTGTAATTGCTTATTTGTAATATCTCATGCTTTGTAGTTGAATAAATACATGAATATATGAATGGCAAAAAATAAACTAATTCACAGTACGTCTGTATAAGGAAACCATGGTTTTGACAAAAAAAATAAGACATGAATCAATTTCGTACTAACTCTTCTTTGAATTCTCATCCTTTGTGGGTAACCCTGTATTAAAACGTTAAAACATCTCAAAGACATCAACATTATATTTTCAAATTTGCCCGTATATAAGCCAGTAACGACATTTTTAATTTTTTATTTTAAATACATATGTAGTGTACATGGTGTCCCACAAAACATGACATTAGCAAGTGAAATTTAATTTCGTCTTTGCTCTTTGAAATAATTTGTTGTACTGTATAATATCTCCGTAATATTGACTAAATAAAAAAGGCAGACCACATTTTGAAAATGTCAGTACCAGAAAATTCTTGTGATTATTGATTCAAGAATCGTTCATTTGAATGTAGGTGGACTTTATTCTTATTCCCTGAGGCGGACAAATGAATGAGACAAAGAAATTCAAAGTTCTAAGACGACTTTAAGTTCTCTTGCTGCTACTCTCATGTTTCGTGAGACACCCTGTATTTGATGCTCATCGGTACTAATGAAGTGTATTGACATAAGTAATCAAGCAGACGAAAAAACATGTTTTGTGAATATAGTTGTTTGTATTTTTTTTACTGAATTACAGCAACATTATAAGTACTTATGATATGGGCCCTTTTCGTTTTCTTAAAATAAACTGTAATAATGTAAAAATCGTTTTTGAAATAGTTTCCCGGTAAAATCGTTCAAGTGCGGGTAAACGGCGGGTGTAACTTTTAGTAACCTCGGCAGCGGTGGGTTCCCAAGCTATAGTACGTACATAAATATACACTGCAAAATTTATAAATATAAGGATCAGACCTAAAATTAGAACTAAAGGTTAAAAACATTAATTTTNCCCCCCCATCCTGCACCTGTATAATCACCCATTAACATTATCAATCTTAAAATGTAACAAAGCAAGAATTATCTATTTATATATTTTGCTTGTCTGTTTGTTTGTATCTAATAAACGTCAAAACGGCACTGGCTATATAGAAATAAATCTAGGGCGGGGGGGGGGGCAAAATATTTTTTGACCAATTACCCCCCTCCCCCCTCCTTACTTTGTAAAGTTGCGCCTATGATTTTAGGGCTTTTTTAGAACATGAAGCAGATTCAGTAGAGAAATAAAATGTATTTTGCATCCTTTAAATTATAACCTCTAATAAAAGTAGCAAATATTTAGAACTAAGGCCTTCAAATTAAACTTTTCGTATTCTTGAAACCTAACTTACTGTTTTCAGATGTTTTTGATAGCTCTCAAATTATATTTTTATAGGGAATAACCAGTGCTGCAACCACTTGCAACCAAAAATTTTATTTTACAGGGCTGCTTAAAAGAATTCGACATTAAATAAGGTTGAATTGTTATCTAATGTCAGGCCAAACTAATTAAAATGTTTAGTTTATTCTCCCTCCTCCCCCTCCCCGCCCCCCTTTTTCTCAAGCATATGGCTGGTATAATATGTTGATGAACTACATTTCAATTTGATGTTATTCTTGGTTGTCTAAAGTGGGTCGCACACACAGCTAGGGATGGGCAAAAGCAAAATTTGTTTTACAGAAATTTTCAATGTTTTTTGACTCTTGAAAGAGCTTACGACAATATGAGAAGGTTCCACTGTTTTAAAACTTCTACAGAATATAATTTTCTATCGTTGAACCCTACTCAGGTTCTCGTAAAACCTTGAAAAAGTCTAAAAATATTAAAGTTTCTGTAAAACGAATCTAGCATTGCCCATCGCTTTAACACACTGCACAATGATATATATTTTTTATTTTATTTAATTTTATCCATCGAAATATATTATGATATATATGATCAATTGCAATTCGATATCTTTTAGAAACAAACACAAAAAACATAGTGGTTGGTTGGATTGCTCCAAATTAACTTAAAAACAGCGGAATCTTTGAAAATTGTACCTTAAATTAAACATAAAAATCTACAAAATACTTTTAATTTTATAGGTTACAGCTTCATTGCAAACAAACAATATATGTGTTTATGACGTTCATGTTAATGTATCTATGTGTCTGTGGCGTAGAGGTAAATGTCTCTATGTGTCTATGGTGTGCATGTTGATGTATCTATGTGTCTGTGGCGTAGAGGTAAATGTATCTATGTGTCTATGGCGTAGAGGTAAATGTATCTATGTGTCTATGGCGTAGAGATAAATGTCTCTATGTGTCTATGGCGTAGAGGTATATGTCTCTATGTGTCTATGGCGTAGAGGTAAATGTATCTATGTGTCTATGGCGTAGAGGTAAATGTATCTATGTGTCTATGGCGTAGAGGTAAATGTATCTATGTGTCTATGGCGTAGAGGTAAATGTCTCTATGTGTCTATGGCGTTTAATGAATCTAGAAAGAGAACCTATATCTACTGAGCAGAGTCCCGGTACCCGGCTACTATTTGAGCATAGGCTTTCCCGAGCTCATACATTCAAGCTTTAGCTTCAGTTTAACCCAAACCTTGTTATTGTGCAGGCGCACACAGACGCTAGTTAGATTCTTTACTTGATTACTAGTTTCTTTACTTTAACACTAGTTTCTTCACTTGAACACTAAATCCTTTACTTGAACAATAGTTTCTTAACTTGAACACTAGTTTCTTTACTTGAACACTAGGTCCTTTACTTGAACACTAGTTTCTTTACTTAAACACTAGTTTCTTTACTTTAACACTAGTTTCTTTACTTAAACATTAGTTTCTTTACTTGATCACTAGTTTCTTTATTTTAACGCTAGTTTCTTTACTTGAACACTAGTTTCTTTACTTGATCACTAGTTTCTTTATTTTAACGCTAGTTTCTTTACTTGAACACTAGTTTCTTTACTTAATCACTAGTTTCTTTATTTTAACGCTAGTTTCTTTACTTTAACACTAGTTTCTCTACTTGAACACTAGTTTCTTTACTTTAACACTAGTTTTGATTTTTTCGTACATTTATAAAGTGAATTCTCTCAAATTTGTTCATTGATTTAGTCAGGCACAGAACCACGATGGTAAAATCAATAATAAAAATAAGTTTCGTTCTGAAAAAGTTTAGCAGGTTACAGTTGAAATTTTATTGACAGCATTTTCTAGCTTTTTCGCAAAAAATAAATAACGTTTATCAAACTTAATATATACATAAATTAATGATCAGAGATAAAAATAGATATAAATCTTTTACAGTTATCATTTTCAGATTTATCCAAGAATCAAATTCAAATATGAAAAGTCTACAGATTCAAAAGTGAAAATATCGACTACTTCAAAAAGCATCCATAGTTTGTCCATCCTGATTTAAAGGTTTAAGAATGGGCTCTGGATACAAAACCATTCTGGATCCAGATATTTTGGATTCAGAGTACACAGAACTAGGAAATTATTCATTCTTTCATTTCATTATATCCATACATTTTTTTAATCTGAAAATCATTTATCCGAAAGGATTTGTACATCAGCTGTACTGAATGTTATTAAAAATAGTGTTTTTTAGCCTAGCATGTAACTGCTAAATTTCAAGTTATATTTCATCTACACAAATTTTGCGGATTCTTTGTTTTAACTCAATTCTCATAGCACATTAATATCGGATTTTTCAAAAATTAGGACCCGAACAGTTTACCCTTTAAGACTTTTTTTTGATACAAACAAACAGACGAAAAGAGTTTTGATTTTACGGAGAAGGATGAGATAAACAGTACTTTTTAATAGCATTTCAATAAGAGGAATTATAATTTCAAAAAATCAGATTTCACTCTAACGTGAAATTTGTTCTAAATTGACGTAATTGTTCGGTTTTTTGATATATTTAACCGGTTCTTAAATTATTCCATTAAAACTGCAAAAAATAATTGAAAAAATTCACAAAAATGAAGATCAAAAAGTGTATGTTTATGAGAGAATATTAAGAGTATTCCACTAAAACCATCCNTTGTGTTGATGCATAATGCATACCTTTTAACCTATCTTTTGAAGATATATTTATATTTTAAAATCCCCGTCTCAAAGTGCTCTGTTGAGAGAGACATGTTTCATAATTTTGACAGCTCAAAATCTATTCGTGTAATCAAATTAGCTGTTTTTTTACTTTTCAAATATTATTGTAAATTGTAATATTTTTATTTGAAGACAAGTGAACACAAGAACTACGAAGAACTATCAAAATAAACAGTTTTTTAAAACCTTTTTGAATCATCGCTTTGTGGTAGGATACAGGGTTACCCACAAAGGATGAGACTTTAATGACTATTGTACGGAATGCATATTGTCTGTTTCCTTATATTCATGATTCCCTGAAAAACAATAAACTTCTTCCTTTTTGCCAAATCATTAAATAATCAAATAAAAAACTAAATTCAAGACTTAAATTTGACATAATTTAAACTTGTATTCGCCATATTTTAATAGTTTCAGGTCGTCTTTGCAGTCTCATTCTTTGTGGGTAACCCTGTACATTATCAACGTGTGTTACTCTAAATATGACTATGAAATATTATGTTGAAAAAAAACGTTTTTTCAACTTTTTCCTTATTATTTTGCTGTATGATACTTATTAACGTGTGTCACTCAAAGTCATGAGCTTTAATAAATGGCTTAACCAATTTTTACCTCATGCTTAAGAAATGGACAAAGAAGCGCCGCAAAAAAGGTGTGTATGGATGGCGGTAGAGGGGGGGGGGCACGCGCTAACTTTTTACATGTTTTTGTACTCGTTTAAATTTGAATACTCTTTAGGAAATGAATTAAGTACTTTAACTGTAAACAAATCAATACATAAGAAGACACCCGCGAATAAATCTACTAACAGTTAACCCTGTCCCTGCGGGGGTACTTGAAAACTAGGACATGTCGGGGGGGGGCCAATTTGCCCCTAAATCCCCTAAATCACATGTTTGATTTCTAAATATGACAAATGATACATCATTGTAATGCCCTTTCGCTCTACTTTTTGAATCTGCAAAAAAAAAATGCAATTTGCAAAAAAATTATTTTTCAAAATCCTGTAATAAAGTAAAAATGTCCAAAAAATGATGAAATATACATTTTTGAAAATCCCTTGACGATGCCATTTCAAATATGTTAAAATTTATAACCTGATGTATAATTAAGCAAAACTATAAATGTGCAAATTTCTTTTGACGGGTTGTATAATGTATATTGTATAATGTTACCCTGTACAAGGAAAACTATTTGAATTATGAATTAATAGGCTTTTATCTTTGTATAAAAAGTAGTAATTTATGTCTGCTTGATTGTATGTCAGTTTATAACTTGTGAACCCTTTGACCGATTTGCCTCAAACTTTAATTGGGGAACTCGGCCGACCCACGGGAATGTTCTTAGCTTGGTGAAGCATTCCAATTTAAGCATGGGTTGACTTTAATAGAGAAAGTTTAGTTAGTAGACGAAGCTGGGTTCCCAAGCTGGAATATTATAAAGTAGTAATCTCTGTTTAATTGTCAACTTGGACGTCCGATAATAACTCATGAACCCTTTTCTTCAAATTTTGATTAGGAAAGTCGGTTCTCAATTTGGTTTAAAAATTGTTTATATCTCCAGGAAAAGCTGTGTTTCCAAGATAGTATATTTCTATCCGATGTTTCTTTCAAGATATTTTATATGAATTGCCTTCTGCTGTCTCCCAAAGATGTCCTATTTGTCGGGCTACATAGAGAAACATTAAATAGAAATAAAAAGGTCGAATCCGTTCATCATTTTATTATCCTTTAACCCCGTTAATTTTTAGCGATCAGTCACTTTAAAAATTCTAAAATTCTTTCGAATCCTTACATTGCTATTTTTTCTTATCTTTCTTTCCAATTATTCCCGTTTCTGTTTCATTTCCACAATACTTTTACCCCCCTTCATCCATTTGATCAATCCCTATCGTATGTACAGTGTGCAGCGTACATTCATGTACTGTTTTTTTAGTTTTCCTCCTCAACTCAGTTTTTACGTGGTTTTTACCCTCATTATTCGTTTCTTCAGTTTCTCCGTCTCTAACTTTTGTCAAGTTTAGAGGATTATGGTTTACTTAATTCCTTAGTTTCGTTCTTTTAACCAGTTTAACGTTCTATATTTCGTCTGCTGACTAATCGATATTTCGTCTTCAATATTTCGTCTGCTAAATATTCGATATTAAATCTTCTAAATATTCAATTTTCTAAATATTCAATATTCTAAATTCTATGGTACTCAATATTCAATATTCGTCATTTGATATATTTACTCAATATTTTATTTTGTGTATTAAATATTTCATAGTATTCAATATCTAAATATTCAATATTTCATCTATCAAATATTTATTATTTTTTCGGATATATATTTAATATTTTTGTTCACAAAATATTTCATATTTCATTCTTAAACATTATTATTTTTGTTTTTAAAATCTAAATTTTTCGTCTACTGAATTTATATCTTTTTTTCAATTGAATATTAACTCATTCGTCCTTCATTTTATATCTTCTTGTCTGTAATTTATATACTTTGCACTGCATTTTTTAATTCTATTTCCGGTTTTCTATTTCATCATATTCAGAAGTCCGTAACTTTATATTTGTTGTAAACTCCAAGTACATAACATTTTTACAATCAACAGTTCTTTATTGATAATAGATTTCTTTCCTAAAATCCCTGAAACCCTATGTGAATAGGCCTAAAAAACCTCCTATTATTTCTAAAAACCTGCTCTTATTAAGAAAAATAGGGAGATCAAAATTAAGAGAAAAAAATTTACGAAATCAAAAAGAAAGCGTTTGGAAAATTAACTAAAAACAAAAGTTTTGAATTAATAAATTATTAGTGAACGAAGTATCCGAAAATGTTGATCAATTTCCAGCAGAAGAAACTCAAAATATTATTATACTCGCAGTTCTTCTTGTTCTAGGTAAACCATATATTCTTTCATTCATCTTCTGCGGATTTATACATATGGTATATGTTTTTTTTTCATTCATTTTCCGAGGATTTAAACAGATGAAATATTTTCATCCATTCCTATTACGTGGATTCATACTAACATACATTCATTTTTTTCCCTTGGATTTATACATATTAGATAAATTCATTCATTTATTTTTTCCGTGGAATGCGAAATATGAAATATATTCATTCATTCATTTGCGTGTATTTATACATATGAAACATATTCATTCCATCAGGTTTTGTGGGTTTGTACAGATGATTTATACTCATTCATTCATTTTTCATAGGAAATTTTTTCATTCATCCTTATTACGTGGATTTATACTAAAGAAATATTTTCATTCTTTCATTTATTTGTGGATTTAAACATAAGAATTACATTCCTTCATTAATTTTCCACGAATTTTAACATTATTTCATGTTTTATTGATATACTATAAATTCATTTAATCTTATTTCTATGATTTTGTCCTAACCGCGGCGCTGAGCACAAGATTTGCTCAGCCCAACCGAACCCATAATATAGGCTAAAAGATATATTATCAGCTAACCCAAATAAAAAAAAAAAATTTTCTCAGGTCTAACAACAAATTTTCTTGCCTTTCCAGTAATATTGTTCAGGTAAGTGTTTTATTCCTATTGCCATAAAAAAAACAATTTATTGTAATACAAATTTTTAGGGTAACCCATTTCAATTTTTTCAAAATACAAATGTTAAAAACAATCAAAAATTCCAAACTTCAAAAAATTTTTAAAAAATAAATTCCATTTTTTGTTTTATTTTTAATCCTTGATTTTCTTCAACCTCTAGTGGATCTAAACTCTTACAACTTTGCAACATAATTTTGTAGATCTTTAATTTTCTAAATTCAATTTAATTGTTCTTCCCTGCAACTATGACAATTCCCTATTCACAATTACAACAGTACCCTTGAAACCTTAATCTGATTAAATATGTAGGAAATACCGTCGGGGTTTTATACTCGAAAAGTATTTAATTTGAGGGTACCGTTGTAAATCGGGCATTGATATTTTTGCATGGAGGGTCACTTGAAATTGCGTTTACAGTCCCCTATACGAAAAGTAATCAAATCTTTTATGTGATTTTCTTTTTTGAATGAATAATGTTTAAATATATGAAGGAAACAAGGTGACGTTGTGTTCCAGGTCAAATACATTTTAACTGAGCAATTTATCTAAAAATCTTAAAAGTTATGTTATGCCTGACACGCTTTGAAACACCTCATTTCTGGAAGGAGGGGTAGGGGGAAGGAGAAAGGTTTGAAAGGATGGGTAGGAGGAAGGAGAAAGGTTTGAAAGGATGGGTAGGGGGAAGGAGAAAGGTTTGGAAGGAGGGGTAGGGGGAAGGAGAAAGGTTTGGAAGGAGGGGTAGGGGAAAGGAGAAAAGTTTGGAAGGATGGGTAGGGGGAAGGAGAAAGGTTTGGAAGGATGGGTAGGGGGAAGGAGAAAGGTTTGGAAGGAGGGGTTGGGGGAAGGAGAAATGTTTGGAAGGATGGGTAGGGGAAAGGAGAAAGGTTTGGAAGGAGGGGTAGGGGAAAGGAGAAAGGTTTGGAAGGATGGGTAGGGGAAAGGAGAAAGGTTTGGAAGGAGGGGTAGGGGGAAGGAGAAAGGTTTGGAAGGAGGGGTAGGGGGAAGGAGAAAGGTTTGGAAGGAGGTTTTGGAAGGAAGTAGGGGGAAGAAGAACAGTTTGAAAGGATGCAGGGGGAGGAGAAAGGTATGGAAGGTGGGGTAGGGCCAGGCTAAGGAGAAAGATTGGGGTGAACAAGCAGTATCTTAAACATCATGTTTTTTTTAGTTGTTTGGACTGTTTTTTCTTTATTTTTCATTTTTTGGAGATTGAATTTGATAACTCCAAAAATGTCCTTAATTTAGTAACTGACTATAGTTAAAACATAACATCACAGTTATTGCTTAAATACTTATAAGCAATAAAACAAAACACCACATTTTATTTTTTGTAAATAATTTTTGTTTAGGAGAACAAAATTTGGGAATGGCCAATTCGCAGTTTTGGTTCTTTGTCTTACTATAGCAGATTTGCTTACTGTCTGCTGCGGATTACTAGGTAAGTAGAGTTACAGGCAGATTTTTTCAGGTATTTTTTTTGGTCCTAAATTTTTTTATTATTCTTAGAAGTACAACCAGGCACGTTATTTTTTACTCTATTTTCTATTTTGAAAATGAGTTTCAGAGTTATTCCCCATCCCTCATATTTACAAGAACGATGATTGTTACCCCCCCCCCCCTTCACCCCCTGCAATTATTCAGAAGATCATTTGAACCCGTTACTTTGATCTAAATATTTTCTCCTTGATCTCGAATCTCAGAAATCCAGAAATAGTTTCTTTTTAACAGATTTCCAAGGAAACATTTTTAATTTTACTTTTGCAATGGTCATTGGGTAATTCAATAGTTAAATTATAGGGTCAATAAACAGGACACAAAAATATTCCATTATATAAAATATATATATATATTACCAGTTCCCGGAGTAGCGTTTCCCCTGCAGGAATTAAAAATACTGAAATAAAGTTTCGAATGCTGAAGAAAAAATCGATTTTTTAGCCTCTGTTACCCGCGGGTTGCTTATGGGTTCCCTTAACAAAACTTCAGCTAATTTGCTCCAGCCATTTTGGCCAGCTAACGCTAACGCGGCTGTTTGTTGGATGTTTTGTTTCAAAAAAAATTAATACGGCTGAACCGATTTTGATTTTCAAATATTTGTTGGAAATCCACCAGTGAAATAAACATAATCTGCAAAAACTAAAATTTATATTTATTTTTTTTAGTGAATACAGATAAAGTGACAATAAAAAACTATAACTGGTACGAGAAAGAGGGGCGCACAGTTCCCTTAATGCCTTTCATTCAAATTTTTGATTTTTATTTCGAAAGCACATCTTTTGTGGAACACCCTGTGCAACATAAGATTTAACATTGTTTGAATAAGGGGAAAGATTGCATATTTAGACGTGTCTTTTGCCAATTTTCTTTAATTTTCAGACAGTTCAAAGCCCCCAGGGGTCAGAATTGCCAATTCAAGTTTGCAAAGCGGTGTGAAAATCTGCAAACACCTGTCCAAGTGCATTAAAAATGGTGTTAATACTTTGAGCTGACCGAGTACTAAAATAGGAATATTTTCAAATTTAAAAATCCTGTAAGTATTAAAATACAGGATTTCGGACTACAATTCGATTTTATTACAGAAATTAATGGATACAATTATTAGTAGTTTTAGTAATAACAAATTCCCATTGTTTTTTGGATTCTAAATCCTATTTTCATTTTTTTGTAAAATAGAAAGAAAAACAGTTATTAAAACAGTTGTAACTTCAAAAAATTGAAATATGCGAAAATCCGCGAAAATTCGCCAAAAATTAGAAAAGTGTCCGAGGTCCTACTTTTTTGTCTTTTAAAGACCTACAGACACATACCTAACATATCTGAGTGATTTTGAAGGGGTACCTTTATATCAAGGCTGAACCCCCAGTTTGGCCCCTATGATACGGTACCCCAGTTTGACACCTATGGTACGGTACCCAGTTTGGCCCCTATGGTACGGTACCCAGTTTGACACCTATGGTACGGTACCCAGTTTGACACCTATGGTACGGTACCCAGTTTGGCCCCTATGGTACGGTACCCAGTTTGGCCCCTATGGTACGGTACCCAGTTTGACACCTATGGTACCCTGAAATGCTGTGTCTGATCAAACATAAAATAGGAATTGATGCTTATAATTTTAAAAACCATGATTAGCTTCAATTGCGGGTTCTCTACAGAAGTGACTTGCAAATTTTCACTGCGGGAAAACATATAGGAATAGTCATAATTTAACAGTTTTAACCAAGGAAATCAACATTACTCCTTCATTTTACTGTTAAAATAAATGTTTCAAGGGTACTGTAGTGAATCTGGCATTGTCATCTTTGCACGGAGAGTACTGTTGTAAATCGGACATACCACTCTTTTGTTTTTAAATGGATAGTCACTTGAAATTGGATCATTAGTTCCTTTAAAAATGAATCTTGTTATCTGCAGGGGGATTAATACTGGAGGTTGGTCACATGACTTGGTCTGGATCATCTTCTGCCTGTTCTGCTTATTATTTTCTAACTACCTACTTGGTCTGGATCATCTTCTGCCTGTTCTGCTTATTATTTTCTAACTACCTGGCTCCTAGGTCTGGCAAACTATCTAGGTAACAACTATTATTTTCTAACTACCTGGCTCCAGGCCTGGCTAACTCTAACTACCTGGCTCCTAGGTCTGGCTAACTATTTAGGTAACTAATGTTGATATTATTTTCGAACTACCTGGCTCCTAGGTCTGGCTAACTATCTAGGTAACTAATGTTAATATTATTTTCTAACTACCTGGCTCCTAGGTCTGGCTAACTATCTAGGTAACTACTGTTCTATTATTTTCTAACTACCTAGCTCCTAGGTCTGGCTAACAATCTAGGTAACTAATGTTAATATTCTAACTACCTGGCTCCTAGGTCTGGCTAACTATCTAGGTAACTACTGTTCTACTATTTTCTAACTACCTGGCTCCTAGGCCTGGCTAACTATCTAGGTAACTACTATTATTTTCTAACTAAACCTGGCTTCTAGGTCTGGCTAACTATCTAGGTAACTAATGTTAATATTATTTTCTAACTACCTGGCTCCTAGGTCTGGCTAACTATCTAGGTAACTACTATTATTTTCTAACTACCTGTGTCCTAATATAATGAATTTAAGAACCGCGTCTCAAATCCCCCAAAAACCGAGTTCAATTGAGCGCCGGCTAAAATCCTGAAAAATTTAATACAAATTTAATTGGAACCACCAAAATTTGAGCCGCGGCATAAATTCAAACTGCGGCTCAAATTCTTTAAATTCGGCCTCAGGGCTCCTAAGTCCTAAGTCTGGCTAACTATCTATGTGCGTATTTTTATGAAACATGATTGATGTACAGGGTTACCCACAAAGGATGAGACTTCAGAGACAACCGTCAGGAATTTATACTATCTATTTCACCTTGCATTCAAGATTCCCTGGAACTATGAAGTTGTTTCTTTTTTTCCAAATCATTAACTAGGCCATTAAAAGGCAGAAGATTTAATTTTAACCTAGGAAGTGCCATATTATCTGAGGTTCATGTCGTCTTTTTTCAATTTCATCCGTTGTGGGTAGCCCTGTATCTAGTGGCGACCAGAAATCTAGAATAATTGTTCCCTTTGATCTTTCTTTCTGGTTTTCTTTATTTCCAAAAAATTCAGCCTTGTTTGAAGAAAACCATGACTGAATTACAAAAAATCATCTAAATCAGCCAATAAGGAAATAGTAATTTTTACAGGTCATGGAATATCTGTAAATAGAAAAATATGAAAAATATTGTACAGATTTGATAGTTTTTGCTGTTGCCAGTGCTGTAACGAAAGTTTAAGCTTAAAAGAATTGAGTCTTTGCCACATACTAAAATTACCTAATACCTATCGGCTGTCTTTGCAACTTGATAATTGAAACCTTAGATACTTTTATTATTTAATTTAACAAAATTCATAATTTGAAACATCAAGGTCTAAAACATTGGGGTTTAAAGATATAGAGATTTAAAAATCTGAGTTTGTGGCAAAGACTCAATTCCTGTATTTGATTGTCGTGCAGTGTGTTTTGTATTTGTTGGGTTTAAAATTTGTGAATGTCATGATTATTTGTAAACCTTGGATCATTTCTTCCTCTTTGATTTGTTTGGAAAGAAAAAATCTATCTCAACCTGAAAAAAACTCAAATTTTCTAATCCCTAAATCTTTGCAACCCTATGGCGTAAACCTATAATATTTCAAAGTTAGATGATTTGATTCAATAAAAAATTCATAATTTGAAAAACCTTAGGTCTACTACAATGGGTTACAAAGAAATTAGGATTTAAAAATCCGAGTTTAAGCATAGAACTCAAATCCTCTGTAGACCATTTTATCTTCCGACCAAATCATGTAAATTATGTACTTTAAACAAAACATTTAAATCATTCAAACTTCTTCTTTAAATACTTTCTTTGAACTGGAAGTATAGGTTTAAATAAGTATTTTTGTAATATGGTTAAAATTATGAAATGTTCAATTCACAGTGGAACCTTTAAAATTTTTTCAAGATCTAGTTCAAGGATAAGTTATCTCGGAACTAAAATTGATTTTTCTGGTTTTAAGATAGAAAAGTGAAGAAATCTTCCTCATTGCTTGTGAGATAAAGACATAAGGAGGGTCAATTGAAATGATGTCCCTTTTAGTTGTTTAACTCTAAATATATATCTATTATTCTATAGTGTCAGCGCTGCTAGGAATGATTCATGTAAAACGATCTTCCGGGTGGATTTCTAGATTGCAGGTATTCGATTATTATTTATTAACAACTAATTACCCTCTGTTATACTACGGTACATCGCCTGGCCGACTTTTAAACAGCTAGGACGAACTGTACAGTACACTTACAGACTATATAAGGCAAACTAGGACATAGAACTTAATGAATCAACCTTACTAGGAAGATTCTAGTATACCGTCCCTAAGAGCTAGTAGGAATCTTAAATACTTTTTCGAAAAATAATTATTGGTTTTTGTCAAAGAAATTGAGTTTCTTGTAAATGTGGACCGCATAGATGTTTTCAATAACGCAAAGTAAAATTCTGAAATCAAATTAACATACATTTTGCAACGTAAAAGACATATTTGAGATTTAAAATTCTGGCTTTTTTCTATTTTTAAACTAGTTTAAGGTCTGTAACCGTATTTTCAATTGAGGTTTTTCTTCAAAGTGACTTGCGCATTTTTGAAAGAGAAAAACATGTTGGAATTATCTAAAATGAACACTTTAAAACTTGGAAAAAGACAATATTTTTCACACTTTTGATTACATGAACGTTTCAAGGGTACCGTTGTAAATCGGGCATTGCCATCTTACAGTACTTTTAACAATATTTTGCCTAGGAATGGAGAACATTATTGATCTGTCCCTTTAACAATATTTAACAATACCAAATAGAACAAAATCATATAAACTTGAAAGAATTCTCTTTAAAACTCTAGAATGTTTTCCCTCTGCTTTCTTTCCAAAAATATGGAATTCGATTGAATTAGAGCTGAAAGAAACTAAATCTGCAAAATCGTTTAAAAGAAAAGTCGCCAAGACCTCTTTAGATAGTTATGCAAATTATATCTGTAAAAAAAAACCTCTGTATCATGTGGATAAACTTAGTCTTTACTATCTTCATCACCCTGTAGTTCATAAACATGATTTTAATAACTTATGGTACCCTCTGTTCCAATCCTTACGCTGAGTATCCTCCCTTTTCCTTATACTCCCTCACCTTTTTCAGTCATATTTTAATCTCTCACTCAAAATCAATTAAAATAACATAGGAGACTTTATATAGTTAAATATTTGAAACACAAAGTCCAACGAAAAGGTAAAAATAGAAAATATGAAAAGTCTAATGGGTGAAAATGGGTTCTAAAGACTCGCTAGATTTTCAACCAGGACCTCTATTTTACCGTAACACTCATTATGTTCTCACTCCCCTAGCGAAGCTTTAAGTTACTGTAGACCTCTCTTTTTAAAGATTTACATTTCTTAAATTAAAATTGTACTTTTCAGATCTTTGTCTATGTCTGAGTTCCTTGTCTCTGTTGCACTAATCCGCAATTCACTTTTAAACAAAAACCGCATTGCAAGATTATCAGATTTCAAATAAACAAGAATGTTTCCATCATTTTTGCTCTAAAGAGTATATTTATAAAGTGTCACTTGTCAGTCGTTTGAAAAAAAAATACTTTTTTTATGGATCGTCAAAACAATTACAGTCTATAATATCTCTATTTTTAGTATTTGTATAATAACTGCCGAGCCTGTTCCCTATGCCTTGTATGTTGCTTTCAAGCTGCTGGTGTCACACATCATACCCATGGGCATTCTTATCCTTACAATTCTTAAACCACAGACTAGGACAGCTAAACGGTTTTCAACACTATTTCTTGGAGAAGGTATTAAATGGCAATCAAGGTTGTTTATTAAGGTTGCAATTACTCTCGATCCCTACACTCTCCCAAGGTTCTTCAATAAGGTTGGTTACTCTGGATGTGCTCCAATGCACGGAATATGACGTCTCCTAAGCATAGATAGATAGGATCCGCATATGACGTCACTGATTTTGGAGGCGACCTTATTAAAGAACCTTGCACTTGCCTCTATAAACAGACACGTCATTTACTGATTTTACTGAGCAATACTTAGGAGACATTTTCCATACATTGGAGCGCATCGAGAGAAAAAAACCTTAATAAGCAACCTAGGTGACAATACACTTTTAATTCTTAGCATCTCAACTACCTCTTATTGTATGAGAATTTATTATCAATAGATTAAAGGTTAGCAATTAATTCTTGATGCCTCTTTTGTAGCAGGTATTTTTCATTGACTCTCCACAATACAATCCGAGTCTAGATAAATTTCTTGGAAAGGTGTTATTTACTTTATTCAATAAATTCTCTAGGTGAAAGTTTTCTTCTATTTTTGCATCGTCGAATTCTCACTTTATAATTAATTTTTGGGACATTTACACGCAAGTCTCGAGCATCTCGCTGAAAGTTTTCTTAGATTCTAAAGAATGATTCTCTATAAATTCTCGAATAGTTATCTTGATTGGTAATTCGTTGTTTTTATCTAATTTTTCAAGAGTATTTACCATAAACTCCTAATAATATTTGCAACATGTTTAAAAACTTCATGGACAAGGGCAGTCATGAACCGTTTTTTCGTTGAAGAAATTTTTTTCCACAAAACATCCAAGCGGAACAAAGAACTAATTATTGACCTCCAGGAAGTGAATGTGAGTGTGGTCCAGCAGGGGAAGAGTTAAAGCTTCCCCATGAATGCCCAAGTATTGGAACAAGACCGGATCTAGTTACTAGTCATAAAGAGGTTAATATCATAATTATTATTATTGAAAATATTTTAGACGTCGCTACAAGTTTCTGCTTTCCTGCGTTTTTCTCCTTTTTGAATCCTTGTACATAATAGCTAACCTCAGGTACTAAACTGTACAATGTACATTGTACACACTAGCTAATCTAAGGTAGTAAACTGCACATACTAACTAATCTTAGGTAGTATACTGTACAATGCACATACTAGCTAATCTCAGGTCCTATACTGTACAAACTATAGCTAATCTCAGGTTGTATACTGTACATACTAGCTAATCTCATGTACTAAACTGTACAGAGTACATACTAGCTAATCTCAGGTAGTATACTGTACAAACTTGCTAATCTCAGGTAGTATACTGTACATTCCAGCTAATTTCAGGTACTAAACTGTACATACTAGCTAACCTCAGGTAGTATACCGTACATACTAGCTAATCTCAGGTAGTATACTGTACAATGTAAATACTGACTAATCTCAAGTATTATACTATAAATACTAGCTAATCTCAGGTGTTATACTGCACGTACTAGCTATTCTCAGGAAGTATTTTGTACATACTAGCTAATCTTAGGTAGTATACTGTAAATATAATTCTAATCTCATGTGCTATACTGTACATATAATTCTAATTTCAGGTATTATACTTTACATACAAGCTAATTTTAGGTAGTATATTGTACATACTTGCCAATCTTAGGTAGTATACTGTACTTACTAGCTACTAATCTCAGATTCCTAAACAGTACATACCAATCTCTGAAACTTTGATATAAAATATAAATACTAGCTTATATCTGATAGAGACTTCACTGTACAGTGTAAATACTAACTTATTAGGTGTATTTCTTGTTTACTGCCAATGACCTCAGTGAGAATTCAAGCTTGAAATTTTACGCAAATATCAATTTTCTCCTAATCACATTTTCACGACAAACATTGTGCTAAATTATTTTTTTTGACTTGTTTTTCTTGGAGAAATGTCAACAGTTAAATTTATTATCTTCTGTCCCGTGTTTCGCTTCTACTTCCTCAATCTAATTTTAGTTTTTTTAACCGGGGTTATCTAGCAATTTTCATTTCAAATTTCAAGTAAAATTAAGGAAATATTTTTCAATTAGTTTACTAACTTCAGTTAGTTTTGAAGGGTTATATAGCAACTAATTGGTTAGTTTATATGTGATTTTTATCATCATAGTTTTCTTATTATTGGATAGTTAATATAGGACAAAAATAAATTTTTTTGCGAATTATAATTATAGTTTTTTATCCATTAGTTTGTTAGCTTTGGGTAGTTTTTAAGGTTATCGAATAGCAACTTATGTGAAACTATGCTTCCAGGGCGCTTCGCGCCCACTTCGATTGGAACTTTTAACTGTTGCACTTTTTGCGATTTTTTTCATGGATTTTGAAAAATCGAAATTTTTTAATTCTAATCATCCATAAACCTTCTCTAATATCATGTGAGGTTCCACAGATAATTTGAGCCCGGTTGTTTAAGCCGTTTTGACGTTTTTCGGTTACAAACTTACGAACAAACAGACAAGCGAGTATATAAGCTTTGAGTAACTTAAGACCGACGTGGACTTTAAAGTTTAAAAAAAAACTTTTTGATATTTTTGTGTTTAGTTTCCAAATTCAGTCTGGGGTTGAATCGACAGAGGAAACTATTCTGGGAAAGGTAAAAAATAAAAAAATAGAATTATTTTACAATTAAGACAAAAGTCAAAAAACCGACAGAAAACAGAAAAACGGACAGAAAACAGAAGAAACTGACCGAAAACAGAAAAAACGGACAGAAAACAATAAAAACTGACAGAAAACAAAAAACAGACAGAAAACAGAAAAATTGGACAGAAAATAAAAAAAACGGACAGAAAGCAGAAAAAACGCAGTTAAATTTGAAAGCCAAAAGAAAAAGTATAAACCAGAGAATTTCGTTGTCATTTCAATAGTGACCCTCAATTTAAACCTTTAAAACTTTACCTTAGCAAATATATTGTTGTTCTAAACCTTTAAACCTTTACCTTAGCAAATATATTGTTGTTCTAAACCTTTAAACCTTTACCTTAGTAAGGTATATTGTTGTTCTAAACCTTTAAACCTTTATCTTAGCAAATATATTGTTGTTCTAAACCTTTAAACCTTTATCTTAGAAAATATATTGTTGTTCTAAACCTTTAAACCTTTACCTTAGCAAATATTTTGTTGTTCTAAACCTTTAAACCTTTACCTTAGTAAGGTATATTGTTGTTCTAAACCTTTAAACCTTTACCTTAGCAAATATTTTGTTGTTCTAAACCTTTAAACCTTTACCTTAGCAAATATTTTGTTGTTCTAAACCTTTAAACCTTTACCTTAGAAAATATATTTGTTGTTCTAAACCTTTAAACCTTTACCTTAGCAAATATATTGTAGTTCTAAACCTTTAAACCTTTACCTTAGCAAATATATTGTAGTTCTAAACCTTTAAATGAGTTTAATTATAAAAAACATTTTTCCCTTTTATTCGCAGCAGAAATCAGAAAGCTGCTTTTAAACAGAAATCATAAGTGAAAATAATCAATAATCTCTATATTCAAAGAGAAAAAGATGAAAATTCCATGCCCGAAACTTTAAAATCGCTATCCGATAAAAACATGTAGAAAAATGTCTTCTACGGTGGTAGGCGATTATATCAATATAATGAAGACGACTTTTATTTAGTTTTAATTGTGAACAATTGCTTTTCTCGAAGTTTACAAGTAGATAAAGAGAAGCTTTTCTAATTGACAGCTTCTTTTTGTTTCCATTTTTTTGTGTGTCCATGCTGTTTTAAAACTTGATTTAAAACTTGAAATCAAAAGTCTTCTTCATTATATTGAGATAATCGCCTACCACAGCACCATTATGCATTACAGCACCATTATCTCTATAATCTAAATCTTTGCATCCTTGTGTCGAATAGTCCTTTGACATTTTAATATAAGAATTCCATAAGATTTAATATTCAATGTTTGATATTTTACAAGTTTTCAGTTTACAGATTTAAAAGATATAAGATTATTAAATGAGAGATTTTTTGTATTATATTGATCTTTTTTTCAGTACCTTGTATCTAGCCTCTACGCAGCCACATACACCAAACAAATAATAAACCCACTTCTCCTTGTTTATGTGGAATTCTTTATCAATTGAATTCAACCGCGCCTTATGTACATTTTGATATTCAAAATATTAACTTTATATTCACTAAAATATGACCTAATATTGTAAATGTAAAAAATAAAACTCCATATTAATCATTTTTAGTGCAAGTAAAAAACGTAAAATTAATAGTTCTAATTAAATTTATTTTAGGTAATAATTTCGATCACTATTAAAATAATGTCATTATATCGAAATGCAAGGTAATAATGCAAGGAACGTTATTTGCATTTGCATATACTCTGCGTACATATTGAAACCAGTTCTCTCTGGGCGGAATTTGTAAACAAGAATAGATGCATCAGTGTTCGTTTAGTATCCGAGGAGATTAAGAGCATTAAATTTTGATAATTCACATAATAGTTTTCTATGACCAGAATATTTCATTGATTTTTTTATGTGAAAGATGGATCCCATGTTAGGCTCCGACATCCGTCTTGTGTTTACATTACCACCCAGAGACAGTACACTGCAGTACAAAAGATGCGTACACACATTATAACCTTGGGTAAATGTATCATGCTTTGTAATTAAAGTCATAAAGTCTTTCTATTGAAACCATTTTTGTTGGTTAAGAATGAAATTATAAAGAAAATGTCTACCAAGCAGTTTTTTTTTCATTTAAAATAGTCTAATTTTGGCTCTAACACGGGAATGTACATATATTGGGAACTTTAAGTATACCCCCCAGAGATTTTGTTTTAAACCTTACTTTGTGTGGTTGATTTATATTTCTTTTAAAATGAATATTCTTCATAGTATGATAAAACATTTTTTTTAATTTTTTCAATGTAGTTCATACATCGCAACCTAACATTAAAGATTTTTTCAATAGCCAAATTTTTGTGTATGTACATTTATTTTGTGAAATATCTTTTCTAATTTTTAAATATTTTTATTTTTACACACAAGAAATAAAAAGGCACTGAAAAGAATACAATGAGGACTTACAATAAGGTTGATATGTAAAACGCATTTGGAGGACGCACATGGAAGGTATACAAAGAAGGATCTTTATAAGAATTCACTAACCACGAGGGAGCATGATGAGGACGTGAATTGAACACATACATTGAGGTATATTAAGAAGGATCTTTATAAGAATTCACTAACCATGAGGAAGTAAAAGTGTAAAAGTAAACAAATAAACAAATACATTTCTAGAACAACAAAGTGCAGTCAAGGCTTGTCACTTCTAATGTTAAACAAATTAAGGAGGCGTGGAATGAAAAAAAAAGAAAAACAAATGTTAAATATACAAAATTTACTTTTTAACAACCTGGAAAAAAATGGGTCGACATGAGGCGGCTGTTAATATAGTTTTGAAAATCATTTTTCATTATATTTTTTACATAGATTCAGACTACTGTAAAATATTGCACCAGTTTTTGAGACTTGGTCAACTTTAAAGAGTCGGAGCGCCTTGGTCTTTGATTTTACCTTACTAGCTCATCATGCTATTTTGTAAAACTAGACTATAGTACCTTTAGAACAGTAAAGTGTAATTGTACCTAATTTTGAAGAAGTAATTGGCACAATTCTCATCGATTTTTGCATCAGAGATAAGTTTTGTTAATTTTTTAAAAGACGATCGAAAAAACAGAATTTTTTTGTTTTCGCTTTTCGTTTTTTCTGGAAACGATCGTATTTGAAAATGAACCACTCGTTTTGAACTTTTAAAAAACGAAAAACGGTATTTTTTTCAACCCGATATTTTTCTAAACGAACATATATTTTTGAAAACATTTTCGCCAATGAATAGCTGAGTTTTATGACAATTAATTGAAATTTTTTTCAGGAAGACAAGTTTTCTTAAATGTTGTCTTAAATGTTTTTTTTTCCGAGAGAAATAGCCTGAAATATGTTCTGACCTAAGGGATTTCTGATCTAAGAAGTTTTCCGACCAAAAAAGGATTTCGTCTTAAAAAGGTCGTTAACGATCGTTAACGAAGGGTCGTCGGAAACGATCGCCAAAAATTAAAAAGTACATATTTTTGTAAACGAAACGACAAACGTTTTCAAAAACTATCGTTTTTAATAACGACCGTTTCATTTTCGTTGTTTCGGGGGGGGGGGTGTTGCCTCAACTTTCATGTAAGATTATTTCTTTTTGTGCTACTTATGTTAAACACAATGGTGGAATGCTGAATGAAAGGAAAAGTTTATTTTGAATTAATTAAAAATACTCAATAATAAGATGCATTGTATGTAAAGCAACATATTTCGTTGTTTATTACAGTGTGACCACAAAAATTGGTAAACATGACATACCCCCCCCCCTTAGGACAAGGTTAGGATTTTCATGGTCAAAATGAATATTTAATTTTTTAAACAATTTTTTAGCCCTTTTTCATGACACCAGGACTTTTTCATGACACCCTATATATTCGAATTACCAAAAAATTAGGACACTTTTGGGTTTATGCAAATAAAATTTTGCACCATGACTTTGCAAAGCTTGTCCTTGAAATTGATATGTGATATGTGATATGGACATAAACAATGTTTTCTTTAAATTATTCTGCGTGAGTCAGAAGATATGTTTTGTGTATACATTGCACTGGAGGGATTATACCCTAGCTATATATCGAGCTATGCATAATGGTAAAAAAATCTACAAATTCATAAAAATATTTTTTTTCCAAAAATTACAATTAATTTTAAATTCTAAATATTGAATTTTGAAGTTATTTTCTTATTTTCTGTTGTGGACACGTCCCCAATGAATGTTGAGGTTATATTATAAAGATACACTTAGAATGAGGATGCATATTATGGACGCTTTTTGAGGACGTAATTTGACGTAATTGAACTTAAAGGATACCATTTTAATAGAAACTCAGATTGATGACACACAAGAAATAAAAAGGCACTGAAAAGAATACAATGAGGACTTACAATAAGGTTGATATGTAAAACGCATTTGGAGGACGCACATGGAAGACGTAAACTGAGGAGACAAGCATTTTTAATATGTAAGAACTTATTTATGTGGACGTAAATTGAGCACATACATTGAGGTATACAAAGAAGGATCTTTATAAGAATTCACTAACCATGAGGAAGCATGATGAGGACGTGAATTGATCCCATACATTGAGGTATATTAAGAAGGATCTTTATAAGAATTCACTAACCATGAGGAAGCATGATGAGTACGTGAATTGAACACATACATTGAGGTATATTAAGAAGGATCTTTATAAGAATTCACTAACCATGAGGAAGCATAATGAGGACGTGAATTGATCATATACATTGAGGTATTTTAAGAAGGATCTTTATAAGAATTCACTAACCATGAGGAAGCATGATGAGGACGTGAATTGAAAACATACATTGAGTTATATTAAGAAGGATCTTTATAAGAATTCACCAACCATGAGGAAGCATGATGAGGACGTGAATTGAACACATACATTGAGGTATATTAAGAAGGTTCTTTATAAGAATTCACTAACCATGAGGAAGCATGATGAGGACGTGAATTGAACACATACTTTGAGGTATTTTAAGAAGGATCTTAATAAGAATTCACTAACCATGAGGAAGCATGATGAGTACGTAAATTGAACACATACATTGAGGTATATTAAGAAGGATCTTTATAAGAATTCACTAACCATGAGGAAGCATGATGAGGACGCATGTTGAGGAGGTAAATTGACGTAAATTGAGGATTGACTATTGATTTTAAACTTATGTGGATATATACACTATTGGTGTTAATGCACATTAAGGACTTATCATAAGGATACAATACACTCTAATTTTGAAATAAAAAAAAAACACTAAGTTAATTACAAATGTTGGATGACTGCCAAAAACGACCAAAATCGATAATATTCAACGAGGACGCAAATTGAGGTCGTATCGTAGAGAACGCATTGTAGAGGACGGAAATTGAGGTCGTACCGTAGAGGACGCATTGTAGAGGATACAAATTTAGGACGCACAAAACTTCGCAGCTTTTGTAGGTTACGTATATGTCTACTGTATATATGTCTACTGTATATATGTCTACTGTATATATGTGCGGGCTGGATTTGTTTGTAGGTTACGTATATGTCTACTGTATATATGTCTACTGTATATGTATGCGGGCTGNTATGCGGGCTGGATTAGTCTGCGCACATCAAATAAATTTCTTTAACAAGACACTGTTTACGGTTTTATTTAGTGTGCGTGCTCAATGTGCGCGCCGGATGCGTAATTGTGCGTTTCAAAATACGCGCATGGTTGTTTAAAAAAGGGGGAGTTCTGGACGGGTTCAGGGGGTGGGGGGTCTTGTACCCCCCCCTCATAGTTTACATATGTTACTGACGCTTATGTTTTGCACTAAATGTGTGTTTGTGTTTTAAATGGTTTTTGTCTCAAGAGATAATATTGTTTTAGGGGGTTCCCGCTCATCTGCTAAACAGATTAATCAGGAAATTTGGAAAACTTTTTTTTATAAAATATGAATATTATATTTTTGTGATTTTTTCAACTTTGGCATGGAAATGTAAAACAATTATTGATATTTATGAAAATTGTACCAATAAATGACAAATCATGAAATTTTGATTTGTTTGAATACAATGTGCAAAATCTTGAATAAAGTACAAATCACACAAACACAACTGGATTTACTGTCAAAAACACAATTTATAAGAATGCCTAAATCAGGAATTTGATTTGGGAGGGTTAGGTCCACAGGCGTACACAGGGGAGGGGATAAAGTCCCCCTGCCTGTCCAAAAACACATAAAGAAAGAATAATATATCTCATAATTTATTTTATGAAAAATACTCAATATATTCCATGGATCAAAAGGACTATAAACGAATAAAGCTAGGTTGTTTTAGAATAACATCATGTCAAGTTTTGATCTTCCATTAAAAAAAACGGCAACAAACTTCAACAACAAAATGTAAAATATAATATATATAGATATATCCCAATAAAAAGAATAAAATGAAAAATTTACTTCAAAAATTAGCGGGTTTTAAAGGGACCGTTTTAATCATTAATGGTAAAAGAATGCAAAAACAAAATTTTTAAACTGTGAACCATTTTCTTATAAAATTCGTAAACTGTTCTCACAAATTCGCAATCTGCAACCGCAGGTTAAAGAGTCATTTTAAATAAAGTTAACAGTCCCTATAAACTCGGTTTTTAAGTTCCTCCTTGAAATAGTTTTTATGCCAAACATTCGACCATTCGAGAGACATATAATACACCTTTACTAGGCTATAAACCATTCAGGAGACAAGATAAGATTCAAAGATTTTAAT